TTAGTTTCTGCATCTAATTATATAACCAAGTATAAAAATGTTATAAATTCTATTAAATGATACAACGGGGAAAAACAATTTCGCACCGAATACACAAAACGCAAATCTAAACCAGTTTGTGTACCAGTATGATTACGAAGTTATTTATTGGTAACTCTGGGAACCATTTGCTCTGCGTTGACCAATCCGAAATCCGTTTGACACTCCCATAATAAATCTAACCAGTTTTTACACGAACGTCCGTATGTTTTTTAAAGGAAATATCTAATTGTTGATAGATAAAACGAAAACTATGAGCCCTACAACCCTAGCTAATTTACGCGCCGTCGTACTTCTTTGCGGAATAAAATGTTTAAAATGTATTTTGGAGACAAAACTATTCCATATCAAAAACTAGGTTCAGCTGTGTTCTGCATGACGTTGAAACAAACACAACCGTACACACACGCATATAAGCACGATTGAGTTTAAACTCCTTCGTATTGTTAGATTTTTTGAGCTCCGGTTTCTTCACTCACCAGACGAAAATCAGAGGTATAACACTTCCCTCTCACGCCTTCTGTGGGGTTGTGGTACTTTCAGGAACGTATATGTCCATTCGTGCAACGACCAAGACTGTTGTGTGGCTCTACCACAGGTGAACGATTTTTGAAAAACATACCAATGGGATTAAAGCCCTGACATTGGCTGTGCGGCAATTTCGATAAAGCGGATCGGTGTAAATCGGAGAATCATCGTTTTCAATAAACAAATCATTCGCGTAATTACTACGGCACGTTATCGCGGCCCGCACACCGTCCATGCCCGAATAATCTGCCGTTTAGGACGTTGTAACATCGGATCTCTATGTACATAATCGAGTAGAGCAAACATTGGTCGGGAATGTATGCAAGCAACCTTATATGTTTAGGTTAAATGCCTATATAATGGACATTATCTTTATGGATCGTGTATGCGTCAACTTAATTGATATTATTTGGAGATCACACGCCGTATGGCTACAGTGAAAAAATATATTTAGAAAGACGGTGAAGGCATCGTGGCTGAAGACCAGGAAACGATATGATTTGAGGTCGCAGGTTTGAATACCCGTTGTGTACATTTATAAATTGTTCATTTTGCAAATCTCCTATGTACAAAAAACCACTCACTAATGTGTGACGTGAAGATTATCGTCTATCGCAATTGGGATTTAATAAGCGAGGTGAGACTAGGACAGTAGGTATTCTCTGAGTATTTTGAGTTCCTTTGATTTGTTCGCGTTTCTATTCACAAAACATTTCTGAAAACTCTTCTTTTTATTCAGGTATCGACATATTATCTTCAACTGCTATTGAATTGTAAATGTTACAACTAGTATGTTAAATCATGTTTGATTCGCCTATATACCTATATATGGGGCTTTTGAAACGAGGGGAAACAGACTGTTCCGTGACCATGAACGCTGAAAACGATTCGGAACGTCGGGAACTAAAATTAAAAATAAACGCGACATATCCGTTAAAAAAAATTCATTTAGTAATGTGTAATCGCGTAAATATAAGAAACTACGTTGTATGAAAGACGACGATATTTTTTTTCATAAAATTAAATCGTCTTTAAATATCTCACTCACTGAATTTTCTATTTGAATTTGAGATCGGTTCTTAATGTATCTTTGAAGTCCCAGGTCACCAATGTAATTTATATGGGATATACATTGGAGTTAAGCCCAACCCGATGTAAAAATAATTTTTGAACCCGGTTAATAAAAAACGGAGTTCTGAGGTAACAAAGATAAAAAACACCTGAATTAAGAACCTCCTCTTTTTTTTTTAAATCGATTATTACGGCATCCTAATAAAGGTCATGGTTAAGGATTGTTTTATTTGGTGGTAACTTAGAATCGGAATTTATTCAACCATGCTCCTCTGTTCCCATACCACCTATATAAGTATCGTAAGGTACAGCCAACAGCAGCATTACTGGGTGTCTAGAGGGCCGTTAAGCCGCCACCGCTCCCCGAGCGGTCGCGATGAGGGAGTAATATCGCTTCAATGATAAAAACTGTCGAGGGGTTTTTCGCGCAATACAGACGCACTTATGGCACGCACGTGCGTTTCGAATATCAAAACTATCCCACACTGTTGTCGTGTTACAGCTATTACGTGCGAGAATCGAAAGCTGGCAGGATTTTAGACACCAGAAACAAATATTTCAAAAGTATTAGAACCTTTTTTTTATAAGCAATTTATTCATTAAGCAACTAACTCGGACGCGAGGCAGTGATTTTTCCGCTCAAAAATGCGAAATACGGAAACTCATTTAGTGTTTCTTTTATGAGAGAAGGTAGCAAGCGGGCTTGCGATACACCTGATGTTACGTCATAACCGCCGCCCATGGACATTTGCAACGCCCGTGGGTTGCGGATGCGTTGTCACCTTGTGGCTTTCGCTTATCTCCGTCACCATACGAATCGCAGAAGTATAACGCTTCCACTTCACGCCGGTCTTCTGTGAGATGGTGACATTTGCCCGCACGGGTCTACCCATTCGTGTAACAGCGAAAGTTGTAGCGTTGTCGGGCCTAACACAGGCGAATGATTATTGTATATCATGCCAAAGGGGTTAAAACAAGTGTTACAATCCACTGGCAACACTGCCTAATATTATAACAATTATATACCTAATTATCATATTAAACTGATGCCTATAATATTGTATAATGAAACATACTTAATAATCATTTATACTTTAATCAGCCGATTTGATTACCTGTAGCAGTAATTTAATTGGTGGATTGATTTGGAGTGTAGTTTTAATGACTCGTTTGTTTTTGTATATAAGCGCACAAGGTTTCAGTGTTAAGGAAGAGCTCTCTTAGCCTTAGTATAAGACGTTACTCTGTCCTAGTCCGTAGAAAGTAGCCTAATTGGTATATAAATATAAAGTTGCTTACGCTATTAGTGCTATTTTATTTCGGCCAACCGACCTAGTCGTTAATACAAGCGAATTCCCATCGCGCTACATGTATTACACTTACACAACTTCAAAAAAATCCCTATATTAGGGTTCGCGCGCGAATCCGACTGGCACTTAGCCGGTTTTTTATTTTTACAGTGAAGTTAGTAGATTATAAAATTAGTTCATTTAGATACACAGATATTTAGACATTACAAAGATAAGTTTATAACTTTTGTCGACCGTGACTTGTTGAATTTCCTTTAGATTTCAATTTTTTTGTTTATTGGGCTCTTATTATAACTTACGAATGTATAAAGTTGAACCAGCCAAAGTATACACTCACTGTTTTTGTGTTTTAATTGAATGTTTGTTGGTCATTTGCGGTTCCCAAATAAAACAAGGACAATAAAATATTTATGTAAAAGTAAAAAAAATTAAGCGATATTTTTCGTTTATTCAAAAACCTCTCAAAATAATATTGAAGCTTTTTCTAAAACTTTAAAATTTAAACTGGCTTTATATTAATTAATTAACATTAAATATGTAAAAACAAATAACAACCGAAACGTGAAACAACTACGTGTTTGTCTGATTTAGAGGATCATAGAGTAAAAACGTGAAAAATGAAGGGCTCTAAAGAAAATCTTCACGTGACTACTTTAGCTGTTAATGAGACGTGGCACTCATCTCGGCAACTGAGGTGGCACCAAGGTGGCACTTAACGATTAAAAAAATCTTAAATGAATAATAGACAAAATATTAAATTAATGGCACAATATCTTGTATCATCGTCTCTCCCTTATTTATGGATGCTAACTATTTTAAAATTTTTTATATTCAACTTTTTACATAACATATTCCAACCAAATAAATAAATGAAGAAAGTGTATGTAAATGTGAATAAATAAATTGGCCTTTTGGTCTTCTTTTACTTTTTACTGAGCCAAATTAAAAAAAACACAGTAGCGTTATACAAAATGAAATAATTATTATTTCCAACAGTAAATAATTGTTACACCGCGTTGTGAGGAGTTGACGGCTGCAGGTGGGTTGGGACCTCACTTTGTATCGAGGGTTAGGTATGTTTAACACCGGAATTTAAAAAGTAAAATAATGATAATCTTAAACTACTGAATTTACTCTAGCACAAAAGTAACACATCATTTGTTTACAAGATGAAATAAAATAACAAGAAGCAAAAAAAATTTACTATTTCTAGATCCAAAAATGTAAGTTCAAACATCGTACACACTCATTCACTAATATAATATCCATACACTAATTTTATAACATAACATAACGTTATTTTACTATACAAACCTTAACTTTCACAATACGTAGTAGAAAAACGATCCTAATTAAATATTAATAGTCTGTATAACAAAAGCTTTTCTCCTTCCCGCTTTTCTTCTTTTATATGAAATTTTGTAAAGGCTATAAATCTGAAAACTAGTTCAGTAGAGCTCCTTTAGTTTATTCTACTTCTTGTAACTTCGACTATTTACGATCACATGTCAAACTCATTTTGCGTTCTCAAGCAACTTTAAAGCAGTAGGAATTTCAAACTCTGTTTTGTTGTGAACCAGAATGCAACAAGACTATGAATCACGAACGCCCAACATAACCGACCTGCAGTACGTCCCATTGAAATCTGCTAACTTAACGTATTTTTAAATTCATTTAAAATACATTGCGGAGTCGCTCGGCATACGTCACTACTCATGTTTAAACAATTAAGCAATGGGTGAGTGACGAATTCAATTTTTGCGGAGTAAGGTTGACATCATCACTAACTTCTCGGAATTTGCTTAAACCAAGGTTCAGATACGTACGTTAATAATACTGAAACGGAAATGGCCTTCTAATTTTCATTTTCGACATCTTTTTATTATTTTTGTCAAAAAATATTTGTCGAATCACTGACTGATAAAATTATATTTAGGAAATTGTAAATAAAAAACCTTTCATCATAACTTTAACATAAGTAGTATAGTCTCATTATTAAAATATATAATACATATATCGGCGTTGTTCAAATTAATATTAAAATAAACTTACCAAAAAAACTCGCCGCTTTGTAAATGCAAAACAATCACTTACAAATCTTGCCATATTAAACATTAAATTGCATTAAAACATACCGCATGAAACATTTTACAATATAATAAATATTAATAAATATTGTATAATGCTAAGGGAGAAACATGTTCCACGCGCCGTTTTTTATTATTTTTTATTTATGGTGCGCGAAGGTAACGAGTCATTGTACTGCCGAGCCGGCGCAACTAGCGAGCGAGAGCATATGACTGCCGTGGCAACCGCGAGCGGGAGTTTGCCGAGATTTGATAGGTCAACGCATCGCTCACGGCCATGGTTTGATGGTGTATAGAAAGAGATATGATTTTTAAAGTTTTCTGGCAATAGATAACGCAATGTTATGAGATATAATTGAAATATCTTTAATATTCCATCACTTATTAATGTTTTCTCAGAATTGTTTAATTTATTTAAGACACATTTAGCCACAAAATGAATAAACCCACAAGAAAAAGGGCCACAATTTATGAAGTAGATCAAACTAAGATTGATCTACTTCATAAATTGTGAACAGTTCTTCAATCTTCATTCACAGATTGAACTAAGTCAAGTAGCCGCGCTAGGAAACTGCTTCTGCTTGGAATCGAACCTGCGTTCTCTGTGTAACAATCTGTGCTTAAATCGAACCCCTGACCCAGGCGCCGAAGCAAACACCTTGGCAACTGAACCACGGTGACATGAAAGTAATAGATTTTTCAAAAAGTCAATCATAGTTTACAGTTAAACTAATAATAATGTTAATGGAGCAGTAACTTTTCGATAATGATCAGTGTTCGTCACACACACGTTCGTCGCAAACACATGAAGACATCACTACGTAGTATAAAACAAAGTCGCCCCGCTGCTGTCTGTCCCTATGTATGCCTAGATATTTAAAACAACGCAACAGATCTTGATGCGGTTTTTTTTAACTAGAGTGATTCAAGAGGAAGGTTTATATGTATAATATATTCCACCCGTAAGAAGACGGGGCGGGTCGCTAGTAATCTATAAATATAAAATGCTTTGTCATGGATGACTGACTGACAAATCAACGCACAGCCTAACCTGCTGATCGTAGAGACCTGAAACTTGGAGGGTGCGTTCTTTGTATGACCTAGGCATCCAATAAGATAGGATTGCCTAAAATTACCCCCAAGGGGGTGAAAAATAGGGGCAAAGTTTGTATGGGACAACGTCATTCCTTTATCCAATCTACTTCTTTTGCGTAAACATTCTTTAACAGAATTCATGGAAGACGTTTTCATATTTTATCGAAAATCATCGTTTATCACTCTTTAAAAGGTTTTTTTAGTTTTTTTTTTGGGTGATTCGCATTTTTTTATGTGACAAAGTGGCAAACGAGTTGGCGATTCACCTGATGTTAAGTGATAACCGCCGTCCATGGATATTTGCAACACCCGTAGGGTTGCAGAAGCGTTACCATCTTTAAATAAAGTGGGCCCCGGCTACCTCACTCACCAGACGAAACGCAGAAGTGTAACACGTTAACAAGTCCTTCTGTGAGGTTGTGGTACATACCCGGACAGACCTGCCCATTCGTGCAACAGTGAACACCATTGCGTGGCGAAAATCTTAACGCCTTCTTTCTACATTGTTATTTAGCATTGAAGCAATGCTTGGCGCATCTATTGTTATATCTATTATTATCGTTTTACAACGATAATTCGAACGAGGGATGTCGCCATTGCTTTTTATAAATTTTAAAGATTTTTATAGTGCTAATCTCTGCACTTAAGATTGAACATTAAAACATGTAGAAAAAGTATGAAAAGATTGTCGCCGCTGTGGGAATCGAATCCACGTCTTCGGCATTCGCGGCCCGACGCTCTAGCCACTGAGCTAAGCGGCTAATAATTCTTTAGCCATTTTGATAATTCTTTCTTTATTTGAAATCTAGTACATTACCCGTGTGGTCCCAATTTGGTCCGGTTTTGACATGGCATTCATGAGAAAACCATATTGTGAGGATATTTGAGTCACTTACCGTAACGTCGTTTGGGTAAGGTAATAGTCGTAGTCGAATATGATGATCATCTTAATGGCTTATAAATTAAAACTGAGCCTTACCAAAAATATGAGCGTCCATTTTAGGGGAGATTTTACTGCCGTACCTTCTGAACTTTAACTTTCAGTGTTTGAAAGTATTTCAAAACTCGGCCCAAATGCATACTTAAATTATATAAATAATTTATTTTATTGTAAATTGGAGTTAAAAAGATTGCTGAGCATATGAAGGACAACATTTAGATAAACTTTTTGTCCACGTTATTGTTAAATAAAACGTGCAAGCTTGGATTTAAAACGAATCTTAAGCCCAAAAAAACAAGAAAAAATAAAATCCTTGTACAATACGCAACACCTAATAAATAAAGTTTCATGATTGTCTTGTTTTCAAATAAGCTTAATGTAATTTTCAAAATATGTTACCGGGTTGATTTCTACTTAGGGTAAGTACTACTACTGTAAACACACACACTATATAATATATTTTGTAACAGCCAAGAGAGTTCTTGACTGTCAACAGAAAACTAAAATTGTAAAAAAAATATATGTAGATACTTGCTTTTGGCACTCCCAAACAAAAGTTTTTTTTTTAACTGGTGTTAACGCTTTCAGTCTAAAGACTATTAAAGCTTCATCGAACGCAGAACCGGTGGGCTAGCCAGAACCCACCGGTTTGAAGCTCTCCACAGTTGGTAGGGCCACGCATATGCTCATGCGTGCGTTGGCTAAGGAGTGTCGCCTACGGGCTATCGATGTTCGGTGCGGACCGTAAAACAAAAGATTTCCTGAATACTGTCTTCTGTTCCTGTCTAAGTAGTTTATAATTTTAGACATATTTTCTTAATAAGAAGTATTTTTCTATTCAACGCTGGGGAAACAAATGAACGCGTTTGATCCTAATTAAACGGTTTTATTTAGCTCGACCCGTACGGAATTTATTTGTTTGGGTCAAAATTAGAAATTGAAATTTAAGCACCTTGCCGTTGTCAGATTGATCTGAAATTTGGTACACATATTTAATTTAGATGACAATACAATATTAACAAAAAAAAAAACATAAAATAAAACCGTTTAACTTAAAAGTTTTTAAACGGTTTTATTTTACTACTTAAAAATTGTTGAATTAAGTCAATGCAAATCGGTCTTCTCCTACTGTTTGAGAATTGCGACAAAAATGAACAAGCGCTTTTACGTCGGGCGTAAGTACTGTGTATATGTGCAAGTTAAAAGTAAATTGTGACCACAAAGCGAAAATCCTACTTATTTACACAATTCTAGGAGATAAATTTATTTGCGAGAAAAATTATAAAAATGACATCAATGTTACAAAATCTAAGTACAAAAATACAATAAAAATAGTCATCGGTCTGTTTCTTATGTTTTCAGTTAGAAACGAAATATTACATTACGTTTGTATGTGGTTTATTTCATTAATGGATAGTCAAAATTCAAGTAAAGACATGCTTAAATAGGATCGAACTATCGTGGACCTCCGTGTACAGACCGTCCGTTTCACAGACCCCCAATTTTCTTTCCGCTCATATTAACCATCGACCTCGACTCCTATGGCTAGCGTTAAACAATTTAATTCTCCCGTTGACTACCGAAGATTAACATTGTCAAGAATGAATGGATAAAGACCCAAACGAGTCAATGACCAACACTGGACTGGGTCACCGAGCTAAAGTCAAATTTACGCTGGGCAAGTATTTAGTAAAGTAGACAAGTTGGGAGTCAACTTGGCTTGCAAACTTCCTTGCAACTTGACCAAAATAGAATCGCTTATTATCAGAATCGCTTAACTCCCGCGAGGCACTTGTTTCGCTTCTTGCCGTAGTGTAAACAGTCAAATTAGTATAGTGGCTGCCGACAGGCAACAAAATTGCACGTATTGCTCCGTTTCGACAGGGAAATGCCACTATACTTGCTGCAGTGTAAACAGCCACTTGGTCGTTGCCCACCACTGCCCACTGTACTTGTACTTGCCACTGGCCACTGTCCTTGACCAATGTAAATCGGACTTTAGTACGACACATACCGTACCTACGCCCGGTTTCCGAAACACTGATCAGAATGATCTTCTTAATATTGGATAACACGCTTGAGACTGGCTTGCTTTCTGCATTCATTACTAAAATTCAAAGCTTTGTAAAAGTGCTTTCAAAATAAAATGTCGAAAATGGCTTTTGATGCAGCAATTATTGACTTCGAGTACCCAGTCTTTTAAATATAATAGTTAATAGTTGTTAATTATATTAATAGTTAATGTACAATATTTTAGTACCTATAATAAAGCGTGTTCTTTATGTAAATTATGCCTGGCTAGGACAAAGTATCAAAGTTGGTGTACCTTCCGTGCTACAACTTTGAGTCCTTGACCATTTTGTGTAAATAATTGTTTTCTTTTTTTACTCTTCATATATTTTGTGCACTCTATGTATATTTAGATAAATAAACGATTATTATTATTTGGAGATATTCATTTGATTTCTCGTCTGATTGGGTTTGTAAATAACAAATAAACATATAGATACATATTGTATTTATAAAATAAAAATATACTACATATAATACACATATAAATAGGACCCAACCAGACGGAAGCCCTCGGCAGGGGAGATCAAACGGCCGAGGGTTAGGGTGAAAGGGAGAGAAACCGGCGGACGATGCGGGCAGTATCGAGGAGCACCGCTTTCTGCATTAGAGCTTGGAGCGTTCCGTTCCGGAGTCCCAGTCGCCTCAGATGTCCGGAGAGGCTGGCTGGGATCAACCCATTCGCAGATACGACTATTGGGATAATTTCGGTCGGCACACCACCCCACATGTCGGTCACCTCGTGAGCCAGGTCCAGATACTTCGTCTTCTTATCTGTTTCGGCTTTCACGAGGTTCTCGTCATATGGAATGGTAATGTCGACCAAAAATACCCGCGACTGTGCCCGGTCCATCAACACGATATCAGGTTTGTTCGCGACAATCGTCCTGTCCGTGATGATGGACCGGTCCCAATAGAGCCTGGCGCGGTCATTTTCGAGCACGGCCTCCGGAGAGTACTTATAGTACGGCAGTTTCCGTTCCACGAGGCCGTATTTCAGAGCGAGCTCCTGGTGTAGGATTCTGGCTACTAGGTTATGTCTATGCAGATACTCGGAGTTAGAAAGCATGGAACAACCGGAGATAACATGCCGAAGCGACTCCCCGGGATGGCGACAAGCTCGACAGATGTCGACGGTGCCATCCCTTAGGATGGATTTCCGATAGTTGTTCGTCTTAATAACCTGATCCTGTATTGCACAGACAAAACCTTCGGTTTCCCCAAAGAGGTCACCGAAACGTAGCCAGTTAAGGGAGGCCAGAGTATCTACAAATGGCTCGTGTAGAGCCTTGTAGAACCACCCGTGGAGCTCTTTCTCTTTCCATACGGCCTCCCGGTCGAAAACGCTCAGTACTCCCGGGTCCTGCCATTGCTCGTTGGCTAAGGATAGAGGGGTAAGTCCTTTATCACAACTAATGACGTCCGTGTAGATCGACACATCCGATCCCGCCAGAAAGTAGTTACGGAGGCTGCACACCTCGCGATTGTGCATGGTGAGGGCGCTTAAAAAGCCCCTCCCGCCATGCTTCCGCGGCAGGTACAGCCTCATCACTGACGATCTCAGATGGTTCATTCTGTGTGATGTCATAGTTGTGCGGACTTTTCGATCCAGGGTGTTGAGCTCAGTTTGAGTCCACCTGAGTATGCCAAAGGTATAAATGAGGACTGGCATGACCCAGCCGTTAAATGCGCGTGCCTTGTTCACGCCTGACAAATGGCTGTTAAACAGTCAGTCATGCAAAAAACACGTCACGAACTGACTGTTTCATGCCAGCCTCATCGATACACATGTTTTGTGACATACCCAGGTATCGGTATGGTATGTTTCAGCCTCAGAGAGGGTCCTTATGTTAACGGGCGTAGATAAGTCTATGCCCTCCGTATTAGTGACCCTACCCCTTTCAACATGGAGGACCGCGCACTTATCCGTCCCAAGCTCCATTTTGATAGAATTGCTGAAATCACAAGTGACTTTAAGCAATTCCATCAAATGGGAGCGATTGGAGGCGAATAATTTGAGGTCATCCATGTAGAAAAGGTGGGTCACTTCTGTCCCTCCTCTCCGAAGCTGAAATCCTCCCCCCGAGCCCCCCAGTAACACGCTGAGAGGATTCAGGGAGAGGCAAAACCATATTGGACTCAAACAGTCGCTATGGAAAATACCCCGTCGTATCCTTATCCGGTATTCCGCAGCCGTCATCCGCTCGCCTAGATGACAAAGGATCGTACTCCATTGCCCCATACAGTGCCCGAGGAAGTCTCTTACTGTACAGTCTACTTTGTACAGTTCGAGGACCCTCTTTAGCCATGTATGGGGCACCGAATCGAATGCCTTTTAGTAGTCTATCCAGGCGGCGGAAAAGTTCCGACGGTTTATTATTATTTTTAATTATCAATTCAAAGAGTTTAACAATTATTTTGGCAATTCAAAAAACACTTGAAAAGCCATTTCACAGCTATCTAGTTAACTTCTACGATGATCAGTGTTTGAGAAACCTGACATCAGGGTTGGATTTTGTACTATAATTTCATGCTTCGTACTATATACTATCCATATCTAATGATAGTACAGAAAAATACCATAATTGGATTAATTTACAAAAATGACCAATATAAATGCGAGTACAATATTAAAAAAGGTTCATTGGGTGGTACTAACATTGTAAATATTTCAAACAATACAAAGTGAATATTGCCACGTGTAATGTCATTGCATTAATTTCCTAAACTAAAAAAAATAAATAAACATTAAATATATAATCTTTTGACTCTATCAACGATGGTAGCCAGTGGGCATTTTACTGATTTTATTCCTACCACGGAATAGAGAAAAGAGTTTTCTCCACTCCGTGATTTCTGCTAAGGATACGTTGGTAGAATTAAATTCTAAGGATGAAATTAGTACTGAAACTGACCTTAGCAGAGGAGTAAATTATTGCCCGTTGAAATCAAAATTTTAAAGTGTACTATTTATTTTAAATACTGTCCTTTTAAATATCTTTTTCATCATACTAAATTCAGTCCTGGCTACACTACAACTATCAAATCAACTTCCGTCAATCAATCACTATTGAATAGTCAACAGAGTCAACAGACAGTGTTTATTAAATTATTACTATAGTGTTATTGCATACTTAAATTTCAAAATCTGTATTGGAAAATAAATATAACGTGGTGGTGCACTTATTACAATAATACAACAGCTTCACAAATTATTTCTTCCAAACGTGTTGTGATAATTTAATGTAACGAGCTCATAATGGAACCAACATCACCATGGAAAACTCCAAGCGAAGTAATGCAAATACACAAGTTGAAAAGAAGAAAAAAGGCTTTACAGGTAATTTCTATCATATTACTCATAGTGAAACTGTTAGGATCAACGCCAGTTTTATAATCTTGTCTTAAATTCAACAATAATTTCATATTGTATTGTTATGGTGTGTTATACAGGAACGAATGAAGCACCCATTAAGTTCAACAACCGAGGATACTAGTATTCCCAAAACAATAGATTTGGATTTTTCAAGAATCCTCAGTGGCGACAAAAGAAAAAATCCATTTTCAAAGTGAGTACACTAATGTTAACTGATTTCGATTTTATTTTATTTGGCATAATCTGGAGATATTATATATTTAACAAACCTTATTAATAGTTATAACAATATTTATTTCCAATATTAAAATTTGTATAAAAATTGCATATATATATCTAATAAACCTGGTCCATGTGGAATGTTGCCAAAAACACTAACTGCATTTCCTCACTTTTTTTATGTGAAAGTTGCCAAGCAAGCAACTACCCATGGACATCTGCTACACCCGAGGGTTGCAGATGCGTTTGTGAAGTTGTGTTTTTCAGAAGGTCACCTTTTGAAATTTGGGCTCCGGCTACCTCACTCACCAGACGAAACGTGAAAGTACTTGTCATACTTCCACTTTACGCCGGTCTTCTTTGAGGTCGTGGTACTTACCCAGATGGCCCATTCGTGCAACAGCTGTGGCTGCTGCTTAGCCCTACCATCGTAAAGTGAACTGAATAATAATGCTTACCTAAACTTTGAGACGATAGAAATTAAAAATAATTCTAATGAAAGTTTATTCATATACAGCATGTCGTTACACCCGCGACAATAAATGAACAGACGTCTAATGCTACTTGCCGATAATCATAAAAAAATACAAAATTAAAAAAAATCCATAATAAAAAAAAAATTTTCAAACAAATTAATTAAATAAAAAAGAAACAAAATTTGCAACATCCTATACAGCTACAAATGACTGATTCATACATTCAGAGACTTTTTCATTAATTGCCACAGCATCGCGTTACAAGTCTCCTTCTAAAAGTATGTTTCATCTCTTTTAAATTCATTCAATCCATTCATATGCTTTGTGACCTTTACAAATGAACTTTACGTTACAGTTTTATACGTAAGGATGTTCTAATTGTTTTGGAAAATTTAATAACTCGGTGAACATTGATGTTTAAAGAATGTAAATGTTTTGATACAGTTTTAAAAAGTTATTCTCTTTATGTGTTAATTTATTGTCACGGTTGCAACGACACGCTGTATATTACTTATTTTTGTTATGTAGATGCAGTACAGAAACAAACAAGAAAACTAAATTGGAATCAGATACACAAATTGAAGAATCAAATGATAAAACACTATTTGCTCTTCTGAAATTACCATCAAAAGTTGTTGAAAAGCCACCTAAAGAAGTTGACACAGAGAAACTTTCTACATTTTCAAACCTTCTACAGAAATTTACAGCTGATCATACTGTAGAAACGGTAAATACATACTTATCTGAAAAATGTATCCTCAATATCTTTAAAATTTTAAAACCTGGAAAGTTGATAAATATAAAAACATCTTCAAACTGTTTTCTAAATGCTATAGCAAATGAAATTATTATTACATGCCTCTATTTATAACAACTTCTCTACCTCCACAATCCACAATGGCCTAGCTTGCTTAGTTCGCAGGTAATGGGTCCTGTTAACATAGATGCAATTACGCCCGGTTTCTGAAAAACGGATCATCATAGAAGTTAACTAATCAGCTGTCAAATGTAATTTGAAACTCTTGAATTGATCAGAATTATCTTCTTAATGATCAGAATGATCAATTCAAAGAGTTTAACCATCCTTTTGGCAACTCAAATGACATTTGACAGCTCATTAGTTAATTTCTATGATAATCAGTGTTTCAGAAATAAGATTTTAGTGTTTTTATAACATAAGAAATTTTCACATAGGAAATCAACAAATCCAAAAACTTACTAATATCTGAAGCCATTTGCCTAAGTCATGATGCAGGCGTGGTCGTAACAAGGTAAAAAGTAATGAAAATGCTTTTTATCTCGCTCCGACCACACGTAACAACCTGTATGGCTATACTGCTGCGAATATGTATTCTTTAATTCTTTTTATTGACATATGCAAACATTGGTGATCGCAACGCGGGCGTCTTTATGTTTTACGCTACCTCCATATCCGCAATGTCTCAGCAACGCAGTCGCTAAGGTACTGGCTTCGACGCTGAGGGTCATGTGATCGATTAAATATTTTTTTTTACATAAAAAGGTGGCATACGAGCTGGTGGTTCATCTGATGTTAAGTCATAACCGCCTCCCATTGACATTTGCAACACCAAGCACGAGACAACTGTTTGTGTGACTCACAGAGAACCGAGTAGGTAAAGGGTACTCACAACTCAGGATAATGTTATCATCCAGTAACGGGGCAATGATTCCGAAGGGAAGACTACAATAGATCTTTCTAGATCGCAGTGGTCGGTAGCCTATAACAGATCTTTTTTACTACCAACTGTAACGTAAGATAATGTTATCATGGAGGATGACTATAATAGATGTTTCTAGATCGCAGTAGTCCTTGAGACTCACCGGCCAACCCCTTCCACTCAAACTACAAATGACTCCAGCTTCGTCCGCTGCCTGGATACATCATCGCCGACCCTGGACACGAGCCCGCGCGCCCGCTTCCACCAGACATGCCTCTACTGGCAGCACCCGCAGCTGCCCTGGCTCCAGCTGTTCCCGCGCTCTACGGGCCGCGTGGCCGCAGCCGGCGCGCTCGCCAACAACGTGCAGATCCGCGAAGCCCTGCACCGCGACTGGACCGAGAGCTTCCGCTCCTTGTTCCAGGTGCAGCGATTGTGATATACTAGCGCCCCGCCCCGGCTTCGCACGGGTGCAATGTAGATTTTTTTATCGACACTTTTAAGATATAAAATTCCGCCAGAACAACGTGCAGATCCGCGACGCCCTGCATCGCGACTGGACCGAGAGCTTCCGCTCCTTGTTCCTGGTGCAGCGATTGTGATTGTATAAAATTCCGCCAGAACAACGTGCAGATCCGCGACGCCCTGCATCGCGACTGGACCGAGAGCTTCCGCTCCTTGTTCCAGGTGCAGCGATTGTGATATACTAGCGCCCCGCCCCGGCTTCGCACGGGTGCAATGTAGATTTTTTTATCGACACTTTTAAGATATAAAATTCCGCCAGAACAACGTGCAGATCCGCGCCGCTCCTTGTTCCAGGTGCAGCGATTGTGATATACTAGCGCCCCGCCCCGGCTTCGCACGGGTGCAATGTAGATTTTTTTATCGACACTTTTAAGATATAAAATTCCGCCAGAACAACGTGCAGATCCGCGACGCCCTGCATCGCGACTGGACCGAGAGCTTCCGCTCCTTGTTCCAGGTGCAGCGATTGTGATATACTAGCGCCCCGCCCCGGCTTCGCACGGGTGCAATGTAGATTTTTTTATCGACATTTTTGCATCGCGACTGGACCGAGAGCTTCCGCTCCTTGTTCCAGGTGCAGCGATTGTGATATACGACGCACAATGTAGATTTTTTTTTATCGACACTTTTAAGATATAAAATTCCGCCAGAACAACGTGCAGATCCGCGACGCCCTGCATCGCGACTGGACCGAGAGCTTCCGCTCCTTGTTCCAGGTGCAGCGATTGTGATATACTAGCGCCCCGCCCCGGCTTCGCACGGGTGCAATGTAGATTTTTTTATCGACACTTTTAAGATATAAAATTCCGCCAGAACACGTGCAGATCCGTGACGCCCTGCATCGCGACTGGACCGAGAGCTTCCGCTCCTTGTTCCAGGTGCAGCGATTGTGATATACTAGCGCCCCGCCCCCGGCTTCGCACGGGTGCAATGTAGATTTTTTTATCGACACTTTTAAGATATAAAATTCCGCCAGAACAACGTGCAGATCCGCGACGCCCTGCATCGCGACTGGACCGAGAGCTTCCGCTCCTTGTTCCAGGTGCAGCGATTGTGATATACTAGCGCCCCGCCCCGGCTTCGCACGGGTGCAATGTAGATTTTTTTATCGTATGTGCGTAGATTCGGGGGCGAAAAATCGATAGGTTTCATTTTTAGAAAATGTCGTCAGGGAATGAAAAATATCATTCGAATATGACGGTAAATTTCGCCGCAAAAAAAAATGTTATAATAGGTCGATCGGTAATCGGCCGGCCCCCAAACAGACGGCCGCGGTTCGTATCAAGATCATTTACACACTTATTTTTTTTACTTTTTTTTCTATACCAGATATTGCTTTCTTTATTTTTTATTTTTTTATTTCCAAGATACATGATTTACCAAAAAAAACCGAGCAAAACTCGGTCCTCCAGGTACTTTTTTTGTACATGAATGAACAAAAACTTTCGGCGTTACGGGATTAGAACCGGCTTCCTCTGTGTGTGTCTCCGGCGTGTTATATATGTGAAAACTCACATATATAACACGCTTTATGTCAAAAGCTATCGAGCGAACAGTAGGTTGCGCAGTGGCGCGGACAGAGATTTCAGACCGGGTCTACACTAATAGAAACTTACAAATCATTAAGGCCCATTTACACGGTGCCAGTTTCTTGCCTGTTGTATACAATTAAATTGAAGCAATAAATAAGTTGCATGGTCTAAACAACAAATGGTCTAACCAATTATTGCGCGCAATTTATTGCATTCAATTATTGCTCTTGCATGTACAAGAAAATGGCATCGTGTAAATGGGCCTTTACTCTTGGAACTCAAAAGTTAAAGTTAAATTATCATCTTATGTCGTTTTCACTTTACGGTGGTAGGGCCAGGCAGCAGCCTCGGCTGTTGACCGAATGGGCTGGCTCGTCCGTGTAAGCACCACGACCTCACAGAAGACCGGCGTAATGTGGAAGTATAATATTTTCGCGTTTCATCTGGTGAGTGAAGTGGCCGGAGCCCAATTTTCAAAAGGTTGTCAACGCATCTGGAACCCTCAGGTGTAGCAGATGTCTATGGGCGGCGGTATTCACTTAACATCAGGTGAACCGTCGGTTCGCTTGACAACTTTTCACATTAAAAAAAAATGTCGTAACTATCTACCATCAGCGCTAGGAATTAGTACATAGGCTCGCCTCCTATAATATTTTGGCGCTCTAAATAGCTTCTTATAACTACAATAACTGCGTCTCTATCACGTTTGGTTATAAAAGGCCTGATTGTTTTTATAATATACAACGTGTCTTTACAATCGCGACAATAAATGTCATGTAGAGGATAATCAAAAATTTGTTTGAAAAATATTTTTTTTTATTATGGATTTTTTTACGTAAATATTTTTTTTATGATTATTGTCAAGTAGCGTTAGACGTGTGTTCATTTATTGTCGCGGTGGTAACGACTCGCTGTATATAATATATAATAAGAAATTGTACCCATGTATGCAGGCAAATATTTGAACTCGGCAGATTAAAATCCGTCTACAAGAGCTAAATTCATATTGTCGTTTATCGTACGCCATCGCTATTCTGGTATGTACTTGAACCTTTATTTTCAGCATCCAACTTCTCACTTTCAACTTTCTCCCCATACGAGGTTGTGTCTCCTTACCTCTACCCTCCGTACTCCGTAAATAGTATTCGAAACGTTCGCGTCGACAGCTCCTGCGCGCCCGCCACTGCCCCTACTTCTACGTGTGCGCGAACACGTTCACGTGTTTGTTCCGCGCCGCGGGCATGTGCGGCGTGTCGGAGCCGTGCGCCCTGATAGCGCCCACCACGCGCGGCTTCAGGCAGACGCTGCGCCAGGAGGGTGAGCAATAATCGACCTTATTCACCAGCAGGACGCATATGGAGTGAGACGAGATTCGCTTGATAAGGAGAACTATGGGCATACATTACGCGGCTTTAGGTAGACGGTGCGCCAGGAGGGTGAGCAAAAATCGACATTATTTACCAACAGGACGCATATGGAGTGAGACGAGATTCGCTTGATATGAACTGGTGACCACATTACGCGCTGCTTTAGGTGGACAACTGTGCTAGGAGGGTGAGCAGAAATCAACCTTATTTACGACCAGGATGCATAATGATTGAGACGAGATTCGCTTGATAAGAAGAACTTTTCGCACACATTAAACACTGCTTTCGGTGGACGCTGTGCTAGGAGAGTAAGGCGAAATTGACCTTATTTACCAACAGGATGCATATGGATTAAGCGAAATTCGCTTCATAATAACTGTTGCAATGCAACACATTATGCGGCTATAGTTGTGCTAGGAGAAAGACGACAGAGACCTTTAAAAAAAAATTAGGGATGTGCAAAACTCGATCTTCACTGGTTAATGCCATAGTTAAATTAATAGGAATATAATTTATTAATTTATTTCAAAATGAGTGTTCTTTAATTATAAATGTAAATGTGTAACTTTAAATGAAGACAGGGCATATTACTAATGTCTAACTGGGGTTGAGCCACACATGACGGCCCATAAGGCCATTAAACAAGAGATCGGCATAAAGTATTTATAATGTTAAAAAAAATTAGGGATGTGCAAAACTCGATCTTCACTGGTTAATGCCATAGTTAAATTAATAGGAATATAATTTATTAATTTATTTCAAAATGAGTGTTCTTTAATTATAAATGTAAATGTGTAACTTTAAATGAAGACAGGGCATATTACTAATGTCTAACTGGGGTTGAGCCACACATGACGGCCCATAAGGCCATTAAACAAGAGATCGGCATAAAGTATTTATAATGTTAATATCGTGTAGTAGGTAAACAATACCCAAATCTCTTAGTATGCAAAGCCACTGCTGTTGCGGTATTACCCTACATAGCACTATTAGTATTGTTTTACAAATTAAAAGTATGTTTTTTTTTTCAGTTACCTAGTATCCGTAGTACAAGCTTTGCATCTCAGGACTATATAAAGTTCTGTATTTATTATTATTGTGGCGCCGTCACTGAGCTATTGGCTCAGGCGTCGATGTCGTTGGTTCGATTCCCACATGGGAAAAGTATTCGCGTGAACCACAGATAAATTTTCCGGATCTGTGTGATTGGTTTCCCCAGGAGGGTTGACGTCACGCAGGCGGGCCCCGGTCTTAAGAAACATAGCCAAAACCGCTACTAGGTGGGATAAGGGCAGGGGGATGATGATGATTTCTGCACCCAGATGTCGAGTTCACGATGCCGCTCCGGCCGAAGGATAACAAGAAGCGTCTGAACAACTCTGAAGAGGGCCGCCCGAAGAGTTCCTCCTTCGACAGCTGCTACGACACGATGGATGACGCGAAGACCGCCCAGGACGCCCAGGGGGACCACCTCTCCGGGGACGAGGAGGACCCCGATCAGTTTCTGTCGCAGCTAGGCTTGGAGAGTGAAGACCTCAGGAAGATTAACAACGCGCAGGTACAAAAAGTGACAGCCTTGACAGCCTATATGTCCCACCGCTGGGCCCTAGGCCTCATCTGTATAGGCTTAGGGCAAAGCTCACAATATCACCTCACTGCGGCTTGGCGAACTACACGATCTTCGAAATATTTATTTTTGTTATAATTTTAATCATATGCAGGTTCCTCGTTTTTGCGGCACGGCCCAGGACGGAATAATGGGTAGGTTCGAACAAATTAATTAACTAGGCAGACCTGTCCAAGGAAGAATTGGCAAAAAACTCCGCAGTCTTATCTTTTATTTGTCACACATATACGTGGAACGAGCAAGGGACTAGCGTATGGATGCCGAAATTAACCGATAATTATATTTGGCCTAGATGTATCGGTCACATCTTTATATCGATACAAAATATTTAATATCGAAATCGTATCAAAAACCGATATACTTCCAATTTGTATGCGGCCAGAGTCCGTAGGTGTCAGATATTTACTACTCGACATACCTATTTTTTTTGAAAACGGACCTAAAGAGAATATATTGATAATTTTCTTTTCGATGTATCGATGCCGATATTGATATTTTCATAAATATCGATATTATTCGTCACTTTCGGCATCCCTAGACTAGCGAGTGCAGAGCGGGTGTTGTAGGGATGCCGAAGTGAAGAAATATTTTTTTTTTTTTTTTATGTGAAAAGTTGCCAAACGAGCAGACGGTTCACCTGATGTTAAGTGAATACCGCCGCCCATAGACATCTGCTACACCAGAGGGTTTGCAAATGCGTTGACAACCTTTTTGGAAATTGGGCTCCGGCTACCTCACTCACCAGACGAAACGCGAAAGTGATACTTCCACTTTACGCCGATCTTCTGTGAAATATTCGAACAGCCGAGGCTGCTGCGAGGCTCTACCACCGTAAAATATCGATATATTTATTTATATCAATCAGTATCGGCCTCGATATATCATTATTATCTTTTGAGGCCCTGTTGTCCGCAAAAAAAAGACGTATGCCGGCGGCAGGCGCGGCTGGCGCACAGCGCGGAGAGCAGCGTGGACAGCGCGGCCGCGTCGCTGGTGGCGGTGCGCGGCGCCGACGCGCAGGCGCTCTTCAACTTCCTGCTCAACTGCAAGTCGGTGGCGGGCGACACGGGCGCGCTGGCCGGCGTGCCGCCCACGCTGCTCGCGCCCACCGCCTTCCACGGCGGCGCGCTGCACTCGCTGCAGGTCGCTTTTTGCTCATTTTCCATGTGAACAGTTGCCTCGTGTTAAGTGAGTGCCGCCGTGGATGTCTGCTACACCCGGCGGTTTGCGGATGCGTTGACAACCTTTTGGAGATCGGGCTCCGGCCACCTCGCTCGTTAGACGAAACGCGAAAGTATTTGTCATACTTCCACTTTGGCCCGGTCTTCTGGGAGGTCGTGGTACTTACCCGGACGAGCCTGCCCATTCGTGCGACAGCCGAGAATGCTGCGTGGCCCTACCACCGTGAAACTGTCACGGGACCCCGGGACTGTTACGATGTCGCCTTACCTGACAGGGGGCATTAAGTACTCTTTTCTTTTGAACCCCATCGGACACCGGTAGGACCACTCAACGGCTTCGGTTGTAGCACGAATGGGCAGCTCCGTCCAGGTAAGCACCACGACCTCACAGAAAACCGGGATAAAGTGGAAGTGTCATACATTTGCGTTTCGTCTTGTGAGTGAGATAGCCAGGGCATAATTTATTATACAGCGTGTCGTTACCATCGCCACAATAAATGAACACACGCCTATCGCTACTTGCTAATAATCATTAAAAAAATATTAACGTTAAACAAAATCCATAATTAAAAAAATATTTTTCAAACAAACTAATTAAGTAAAAAAGAAACAAAATTTGTAACATCCTATACAACTCGCGCCACAGCGTCGTATTACAAGCCTCTCCTTCTAACAGTATGTTTTGTCTCTTTTAAATTCATTCAACCCATTCATATGCTTTGTGACCTTTACAAATGAACTTTACGTTACGCTTTTATAAGTAAGGGTGTTCTAAAATTCTTTGTTTTGGAAAATTTTATAACTGTGTAAATATTGATGTTTAAAGAATTTAAATGTTTAATACAACTTTAAAAGGTTATCCCCTATATGTGTGTTCATTTATTGTCGCGATGGTAACGACACGCTGTATATAAGTGTCCCCCGAAATGTCCCTGTGCGGCTCTTGGTGCGAGTTTCTCTAAAAGACCAGCTGTTGAAAATCGCTTCTTAGCCTAAACTCATCATTGGCAACCCATTGGTTATTAACTCCTGTCATCAAGCACTGCAATATTCTGAACGAGCGGACAGCATGCAATTTCCTGCACGTATACTAACACAACCATGTTACTACCACAGCTCGACAATCGATTTTTGCCTGTAGCATGTCATTGTTTGTTGTTTGCAGCAGACCCTACATAAAGCAACACACTACAGGTTATCAAAGGAAGTCTTCCTTGAGATATATACTGTGACGCAGAGTCAGTCTCCACACAATAAAAATGATGTATGCACCACTCCCTGTACTTCCATAACGTAACCCCCAATCATAGTTGGACCTGCCGTGCAAAGAGTCATCTAAATAGAAGACCACGGAGTCAATTAGTCCCATTAAAAACTGCGGCCTCTGTGCAGTTCCGCGAGAACACGGTCCACGTGGACAGCAAGAAGTACTACTCGATCGAGCTGCGGGGGCCCATCCTGCCCACGACGGTGCCGGCGCTCTTCAAGGTGCTGCGCTCCAGCTCGGCGGCGCACTTCAGCGCCACCTTCGCCCACCTGCAGCCCACGCTGGCCTTCTCCTGGGCGGCGGAGAGCATCGCCGAAGGTAAGCGTGCATGGTGCATACAGCATGTAGGACGTAGGACGTCATTTATCATAAAAATTTCGGTGGTACTTATTGGTGAATGTCACATGCAGGCGAAATACCTTATGGAACATACTGCAATTCGACGACCTGAATGCTCTCACTAAGCCGTTATTTCCATCCATATATCACATACTTATAAAAATATTAAATTTATAGATATAAATATTAATCCAATAAGGTGTATCTTTCAGATTTTTAATACCAATATAAAAAAAACGGTAATATCAAAAAATGGTAAAATTAACCACTTATACCTTTCCATAAGAAAAAAACTAAAACCTTTAACTTCTAAATAGATAGAACTGAATTTTGCACTTTTTTATATTATTGTTTCAGATGAATCCACAAAAGAAAATGAGCCAAATCATTTCACAAAAGCTTTCAACAAAGAGAATTTATCTGATTGTGGAATCAGTGAAGAGATGCTTCAACTATTTTGTTCTTCAGACCCCAGTTTAGTGAAATCTTTGGACAGTGTTAAGTACAATGCAGAAGATGATACTTATACTTGGTGATATTTAGTATTAATATTTTGTTGTTGTTTGTTATTTGTATTATCAAATATGAAATAAAACAATTTCCAAATCCATTCAATGTTTTTAGTAAAACAAATGAAAATACACCTTCACTTAATTGTATGATTTATTAAATTTTCATTTTTGGTAAATTAAAAATAAAGATTTCATAAGTCCACAATCACTTAGCAATAAACAAGATTCATACAGATCAGGATGAAATAAATAATATTGTGAGAGTTCTGTTTTATATGACATAATATTATGTTACCTAACATAACTGCACTAATCACTAATTATCACTTCAAACCCAAGGTGGAACAGGAATCTTGGAAAGCTTAAATCTAAGATTCAACTATGCGACTGTTTCCTTCGCCCTCTGAAACAGAAAAAAGTTAGTTATAACGAAATTCAAGAACTACACAATTCATTAATTTGCAAACAAATTTACCTGCAAGGCGCGCGAAATTGATTTACGGTGTATTATAAAAATACGCGGGCTTATGATTTCTGCAAAAAAGTAAATCCACATAAAATAACAATCGTTTCATTTATATATTTTAACTGGTAAAATAGCCTTAATCCTAAACAAAAATGAGAATTGTTTAAATAAATTTGTCCCAAATAAAGGCATGTCCTAAAAACACAAAAAAAACGACGATCTAATCGAAACGGCCAGTAGTGTGTAGAAGCAAGCTGTACCAGATCGAAAAGCATCGTCTTTAGCCTGTTAATGTTCTGCAGTGGGAGTCCACTGCAGAACATTAACAGAGTGAAATAATGTTTGAAGATAAACAACTTCCAACCTAATCATTTTGCACTAACATGATAGAAGACGATTGTTTTGTCAATATAACTCGAAATCATTGTACATGAGGCACAAGCTTCAGGAATTTGCCACTAACAATTATGGAATTCGAAAATGAAACTCTGGGGTGTTACTATTTAATTTTCCAGGCTCTTTTATTTTTTTCTCATTTAGGCCTTTAGAAAATTTTGCGTCTCTGTTTATAATGAATTTAAGTCGTGAAAATTTTCGATGAATGAATTTTTAAACATAGTATTTGTCAGTAATTTCATAGTGCATTAAGCATTGGAAGCCTGGATACTGCATGATTCAACGGAGGACGAGAAAAGCTTACGTTTTTAATGGTACCATAAATTATAAATAAGTTAAATGATGAAGACTTAATATATTCAATAAAATAAATTGCCAGCACTAAAAAATTACTTTATTTCTTAAAACATGCTTAGCTGCAATGCCACGGCTGCATTCTCTTAGACATAATGCAGCACCTACCCAACCACACAAATTGAATTATTCTCGACAGAACAGATATGACACAATAATAAAATTGGTATTTAATTTTTTTTATTTCAAATTATGAACGTAGATTAATCTATTGTATTTAAGTAATATACTTTTCACCCATGATTGGACTTAGAGGCCAAAAATATTGTCAGGTACGTACATTAGAGGAACCGGTGGAGGTGGGTTGTCCGGGTACGGAATACTGCGGGCGGAAGTTGGAGAAGTTGGCCGCCGCAGCCGCCGCCGGCGCGAAGCCTGGCAGCGTGCCTCCTGGCTGGAAGCCTGCCGGGAACTGGGCCATTTGAGCTGCAAAAAAAAACAATTCTTCATTTTAATTATAGTTAGAGTGAAGCAAAGTAGCAGTCTTTATAGGTCCCACTGCTCGGCAAAGGCCTCCTCTGTACAAAGGGTATTACTACGTAGAACACCATGCAACCTCACTGCAGATTGGTGGACTTCACATATCTTCGAATCAAAAAATTTCGTAATAATTTCAAAAATATGCAGGTTTCCTCACGATGGTGAAGAGTATATAATAATTGTTACAAGCAATTAATATGTTTCATATCAATTTCAATAAGGTAATTGAAAGAATGTGGGTCGGTTGGTGCAACTAAGTTACTAAGCAAATGGTATTAGCCGGTCGTGTGTTAGACTCCCACACTGGAGAATTATTTGTTGACCCAATTATATGTCACAGCGTATGGTTATAAAAACCCCCTAATAGTCCCCTCGGTTAGGTGATAGCCGTGACTTGGCTTCTAATAATACAATCGTCAGGGACCGAACCCAAGCGAGTTTGTCTACCTGCTGGCACCGGGTTGCCGGCGGTGGCGGCTAGCCGCGACAGGATCGAGCGCTCCGACATCTGCAGCCGCTGCGCCACGGGCGGGATGCGCGCCAAAGTGGCCGGCAGCCGCGACACGTCCGACTTCATGTCGGAGAGCAGCTCTTCCAGCTGGTTCAGCACCTGGAATGGAGAACGCAACAGCTTAATCCATTGCACGGCTCAGTTAGGGATGCGAGTGAATAAATATGGCGCATTCCTTGTGCTGGATGGGCGCCACCTCACTTATCGGCGTATCAAAACGGATTCGGTGTAATCACGTAAAAAGTGACTTTTCACGAGAAATCTTTGTTTTTCTGTGTGAAAAGTTGTCTTTCGCCCACGAACATTTACAACATCAGATGGCTTGCAGTCGCGTTGACAACTTTTAAGGAAGTGGGCCTCGGTTACGCCACTTACCACACGAAACGCTAAGTTTAATACTTCCAAAGCGTGGCAATCGATTCAAATTCACGTTTCCCCGGGCTCACCTTGTGCAGGACCGCGTTGGCGGGCTTGTTGCCGGCGAGCGACTCCTTGCTGAGGTGCTGGTGCGACTCCGCGAGGCATTCCACCTCGGCGAAGCGCGCGTTCAGCGACATTGCCGGGTGGTTGGGGTCCTGCGTCAGGTTCAGGTAGGCCGCCCTGCGCAGCTGCTCCTCGATCACCAGCGCCTGCTCCAACAGCTGGAACGGCGGACGATTTCATTTTATCGTCGAAAGCTAAAATGGGGGCGACTCGGTGGCGTCGTTGCTAAGCTGTTGGCATCGGCGACAGTGGTCGTGGGTTCGATTCCCATAAGCATTTGTGTGACCCTCAGATAATTGTTCGACATTTTTTAACTCTATTTTCAGTTGTTTCAACTTTAACAATGCTTATTTACATTGATTTATCACCAATGGTTAATACTAGTAAAGTAAGGGAAAGCCTCATAAACATCCATATGTGATGTTAAAATTTTAAACCCTCTTTAGCTAGTTAGCCTCACAATTAAAGATTAGTACCCGGAGGACCAAGCTTCGCTCGATTTGTTTTTTTTTTTTTGTAAATCGTGTGTTTTGGAAATTACATCTAGATACAAATTACTGAGTAATGAAATATGCATAATATTTTTAGATCTTACCGACGTAATAATAAGAAAATATGAACTGATGTTTTTCACAAAAGAAAGAACTTTAAAAAAAACAAATGAACTATACGTTACAGTTTTATACGTAAGGGTTCTGTTTCTAAAAGCTATTTGTTTTGGAAAATTTACCGTCGTATTCAATAACTCGGTAAATATTCATATTTAAAGAATGTAAATGTTTAATAAAATTTTAAAAAGTTATCATATTAGGCATTTTAAAAAGTATATATATATATACCTATATACATATATTATATATATACATATATATATATATATATATATATATATATATATATATATAGTTGTAGAATTGCTACAATTGCTAAAAGCTAAAAATAAGATTAAAACGTAAGCCTCACCTTAAACCGCCTCGCGAGGAATTTGTTCTTGATCTCGAGGAAGTTCCCTTTCCCGACATCCATTTTGAATGGTTCGTTGATGATGGCGAACCGCAGATCGTTCTGAATGTCTTGCCAGCGGCCGTACCCGTGTGTCACAATACCGGCTAATAGCCAATAGTCATGCCTCCTGTGCCATATTTCGTACTCCCTTCCGGGCGCCGCCGCTCTCTCCTCGTTAAGCCACAACGTGTGTAACTCTGTGAAACCTCCATCAGCGATGTTGAACATAAACTTGCGGCGCTCCACTTTAAGGTCCTCTTCTTCCTTTACCAAGACGACATCATCATCGTCCTCGTCCTTTTTCTCTTCCTTAGGTTTCTCCGACGCTTCTGACTCGGTCTTGTCACTCTTGGCATCCTCTTTCTTATCAGAGTCATCTTTTTCTTCTTTGATTTTGTCCGAGAGATCTTCCAGTTTCTTTTCGTCTGCCTTTTCATCGTCCTTCGGAAGTTCATCGTCTACTGAAGAGCGCGTTTCTTCCTTAGGTTCTATTTTTTCTTTGATAGCTTCCTTGTCGTCTTTCTTTTCTTCTTCGTCGTTTTCTTTTATGTCGCTGGTGTCCATTGCGTCATCTTTTTCTTTAGTGTCCTTTATATCGGGCTTTTCATCCTTTACCTCTTCCTTGTCATCCTTATCGGAGCCACCCGGTGTTGGCGCTTGGCTTGCCTGCGGTACCTGTGTTGGTGCAGGAGACGGGGCGGCTGAAGTTATAGGAGTGGCAGTTGATGGCGCCGGGCTAGGAGCCGCACTCTCACTAGTAGCGCCCGATATCTTCACTGGTTCCACAGGCTTACGTATCAACTCCGGCATACTGTAATATCCGTTGATATGCTCAAACTCTTGGACTTTCTTTCTGATTAGACTCATTACACCAATCCTCGTTAATACATGCTGTCTCGATAATCCTTCTCTAGGGACGCCGTCAGCGAATGTTTCAGCATTGTCTGCACCGGGTTCGCACAAATGTCGCATAAATAATGAAACATACGCTTTAAAGTTGCGTTCAGACTTCCCTCTGAGGTCTCTTACCAGCCATTGAGAGTTGAAAGCGTCTTGGGGCGGCATGCCGTAGCGCATTATTGCATTAAGGAATGACTTTCTCTGACGTGCGTTAAAACCTAGCACTTCCATATTGCCACCGACACGTGCGAGTAACGGAGGGAGCGGCCTGTCACGCTCTTCTCGCCTCTCCAGGCGTCTCTTGCTGCGACGACTAAGAAGATCTCCGTTATCATTCTTTTCATCGAAGTCATCGTCTTCCTTGTCATCTTCACTACCCTGCGAAAAGTCCGAATTGAAGTCTGACCCATTCTCCTGCCATGTAGAATCCTCCCTGTTCTCAGTTTGAGCCAACGCTGCCGTCGTTGTAGTTGACTTGCTTTCGTACACGTTTCCCTTTGCCCAGTGTTCTCGCTTGATCTTCTTGGTGTTGTTCATAATGATGCCTAAGCAGCTTGATCCAGTAAGCTGGGTCTGTATTTTCGGCCTCTTGCTTGATGATCTCTGTATCCACTTCTTCTTCACCGTCGCCCTCTTTTGTGGAATAACTCGCCACTTTAAAGGAGCTGAGATACTCATTTGCCCAAGATTCTTTCTGTTCAATACCCTCCTTCGATCGATCGAGTAACTCGCCGACAGCTCTATCGTCGTAATGGATAGCTTCCTCTTTACCCTCCTCCTCTTTAAATAGCTCCTCTGTACCAAATCTAAGAATGTCATCCAGTTCTTGCTTCGTGAAGTTGGCGCCTTTCCCACCCATACCGGGACGTACAACCAAGTGAGTCAACATCATCTTCCTCTTAGCTACCTGTGTAACTCTTTCTTCAACACTATTACGTGTTACGAAACGGTAGATCATGACTTTATTCGCTTGGCCAATACGATGAGCACGAGAGAACGCTTGAATATCATTATGAGGATTCCAATCAGAGTCATAAATGATGACAGTGTCAGCAGTGGCCAAGTTAATACCCAAACCGCCAGCCCTTGTTGACAGAAGGAACACAAACTGCTGTGCCCCAGGAGCGTTGAATCTATCAATCGCCTCTTGGCGTATCGTACCAGTTATACCGCCATCGATCCTCTCGTATTTATAACCTTCGCCTTCCAGGAAATCTTCCAAGATATCCAACATTTTCGTCATCTGTGAGAAAATCAACACTCTGTGTCCCTGTTCCTTTAGTTGCTTTAGCATTTTGGACATGAGGACGAGTTTCCCCGACGCCTTGATCAGAGCTTGAGTGTCGTAGTTGCCGTGAGGGCCGAGTGGCGCCTCTTCAGCTGCCACAGGGAATAGATACGGGTGATTACAGCACTTCTTCAAGTCCATCATTACATTAAGTAATGAAACAGTTTGACCTCCGCCTTTAGGATTCAACGCCTCATAGTTCCTCGTCAGAATATACTTGTAGTATTTCTTCTGCATCGGCGATAATTCTACGCGCACAATGAACTCGGACTTTGCCGGCATATTTTTTAACACGTCAGCCTTCAAACGACGCAGCATATGCGGCCCAAGCATTTCATGAAGCCTCTTGACTTGCTCTTCTTTCGATACATCGGCGAATTCATTTTGGAAAGCGGCGAGATCGTTAAACTTGTCCTTGTTTAAGAAATTCAAAAGATGGAACAACTCCTCGAGGTTGTTTTGCAATGGTGTACCGGTCAGAAGCAGTTTGTAGTTGATGTGATAGCCGGCCAGGAGCCTGAAGAATTTAGATTGGTTGCTCTTGAGCCTGTGAGCTTCGTCCACAACCAGAACAGCCCACTCGATGGAACCCAAACAAGTGGAGTCGATAGAGATCAACTCATACGAAGTGAGAAGGACGTTGAATTTTACTTGAGATTTAATTTTTGACGGCCTGCCGCCTCTGTTTCCGCCGTCGTCGAAAGTCAACTCATTCTCTCTTATGACAGCTCTAGAATCTTTGTCGCCTACGTACGTAATACAGTACAAGTCGGGGGCCCACAGTTCAAATTCTCTTTCCCAGTTAATGATCGTCGATAAGGGTACTGACACCAAAAATGGCCCTTTGCAGTGTCCCTCTTTGAACAGGGAGTAAAGGAATGTAACTGTTTGGATGGTTTTACCGAGACCCATCTCGTCGGCGAGGATCGTATCGATTCCTTGGCCCCATGAGTAACGTAACCAGTTAAGACCTTCCAACTGGTATGGATGGAGTTGCATACCAGTCTCATACACAAACGGAGGTTGATCTTCGTATTTCTTGTTGAGGTTCGTTGTAGGCCGATCTGGGGGTGGGTTGTATTTTTTAGCTTTAAACTGCAGGCCACTGCTGCTTTCGTCTTCGTCTATCATATCTTTGTTTTTACTCTTACGACCAGTTTTCTTGCCTTTACTACCTTTCGTCTTTCCTTCAGAAGTGATAAAGGCACGCATATCCTAAAACAAAAGTATAAATATACTGACATGGTATAACTAAACACAAGATGAAAGATGATATTCTGGAATTAAGCAATTGCAATAATGCTTATATTTCTTTTAAACAATAAACTGTTAGGATGAATGCTTCAGATGCAATGTAATAATATTCAACTGGCCATTACCTGATAATACTCCATGGCATTTTTGAGCCCAGCAATGTCCTCATTCTCCGATTCCCATGTGGCTTGGTCATAGGAGAGATCTCGCCATTTAACTAAATAATATGTCGTACCATCGCGTGCAGTGCGATGATTAATCACCCGATGGACAATCAGCCACTCGGGTTTTACACCATACCTTTAAAAAAAATAATTTTAAGTAAAACAGTTTTCATTTAAAAGAATCCTTTAGTTTATGTGGTAGGGCCATGCTGCAGTTTTTTTGCTGTTACATGAATAGGCAGGCTCTGGTACCCACTATCTTATAGGTGCAATGCATTTGCAGTCCTCAGATAATGTTAATCTCTTCGGGCGGCGGAAATAACTTAATATCAGGTGAATCACCTGCTATGACTAAATATGTTAATAAGTCCCCCCGCCCCGCGTAATACATGCCCGTCTAAACGTGATAAATTCATACTACAAACCGGATTTTCATATGTTTATCGTCATTACACGATTTTTGAAGATAGCAGCAAAAATCATACCATCTAATTAGATATGCTACCCGCGCAAAGCCGGGGTGATTCGCTTGTTTTTTCCATAAAACCAAGATAACATTTCATTCTTTCTGTACCTGTAATATTTCTCCTCAAGTAATTTCTCATCTGAATCTTGTTCCTGTTGTTGTTTGTTCTTAAGCCGTTTGCGCCCCTCACGTTCCTCTAAAGGCTCCTCAAGCTTGGGCGGTTCCTCAGGATCCGATTTGCGCATGTAGTAACGGTACATAAGGGGATGGAAAACATCCAGCTAGAAAACAAAAGCAAATGTAAAGAGGAAAATTACGAATTTTCAAATTTGAATTTTGAATGGTTTAAAGAAAGACGACATGATTATAACGTATAAATAAATTTCATTTTAATCTAATGGCGCAAAGATCCAAAATTATATACACAATATATATTTGCTGTGCTAGGGCCACAACTGTATTCGCTGTTGCATGAATGGGCAGGTCCGTCCGAGGTAGTACCTCACAGAAAGCCGACGTTAAATGGCAAGTGTTACACTTTTGCGTTTCTGGTGAGTGAGATAACCAGAGCCCAATTTTTTTAAAAGCTGGCATCACATCACCAACCTTAAGGGTGTTTCAAATGTCCATGTGCGGAGGTGTTCATTTGAAACGTCACCTAGCATGCTACCTTCTCACATAAAAAAAATAAAAACAAAGCTCACCTGTATTTCTGATATCCAGCTACAATGCCAGTAGGAGCGTTCATGCCACTTTACAAAGAACTCACGCGTCCGCGGTGCTTTCGATTTAGCAGGTTGCTCTTTCCACCTCCAGGTTAATATCTTTGCCACTTTCCCGTCGAGGGGCGGGCACTGAATAAATAAAATTAAACAATTAAAACGACTGTTTCTTCTAATTAGGGGATTGCATAGTAAATAATCATAGTAAAAACACTCACGCTACATCTAGGACATTTCCACTCCCCATCTGGAACTTCTTCAAGTGGTGGATTAAGACAGAAACGATGGTATGCAGAAGGGCAAGAGTCACAGCATAACAGCTCACCACCATCTTTGCAAATCCTTGAAAAGTTACAAGTAGTTATAAATAATAAATTCACAAAAGAATAGTTTCTCGCTTTAAAAATGTTATCACACTAAGATCCAGTAATAAGTTTTGTTTGAATTCATCTTTAGAATGAGATAATTATATCTGTTATATTTCGACAAAGGAAAAATCAAAAGCTTTATTGATAAATGATGTATGTTTACAGTGCATGCCACTCTCCTGGTGAAAACATCAAACATGGTAGGGCTATGTAGCAGCTTAATACAACTACAACAGGAGTGTTCATAAGAAGCAGAAATTTATTTGAAGTAGAGATGGGTCGTATCGCTTTTTCTGAGAACCGTATCTGAATCAGATTTTGATTTCAAATATCAGATTTCGAAACTATGTATTTTAATATCTAGATATTTTACGTTGGCGTATAAAAAAAAAAAAAAAAAAATATAGTTAATTTTTAAAGGTTAAGGTTCTGGTCCAGTGAGTCCTACAAAGTACGTTCATAAGCGTTTCGTTTTATTGCAAAGTTTTGATAATACATAATTCAATATTATAGTTTAGTGTGGAAGAATTTAAAATATACACACAAGACACATAAGCCTTGGCTTGACGTCCACCAAAGCAGCACAGCACTATACAATTATATTTTACTTTTTCGTTTTGTGTACTTTTATATTTTTTCCAAAATGTGAATAAAATTTAACTCCTAAAAATATTCCCAAAAAATTTACCTCCTAAAAATTTCCATTGTAAGTATATATTCCTACATCTTCTAAAATTCGTTAATTTAGGAACAAAATTCCTCAGTTGGCATCCCTAACTATTACGTGCATAGGTACCAATGCACTCCAGCTCAAGGCTAAACAAAATTTAAAGACATCGTTAATACCATGATTCGTATTTAAATGAAACAGAGTTTTTTTCCATGCTGTTGAGATTCAAAATTACTTAACTCATTCATAAAATCTGATATTGTGCATTGTTTGCTGTACTAACTCTAACTAGTGTAATATTTGTATCTCACGCGCTTTGTCACTCGCTACGGATCAAGGCTAAATAAAAGAATTATATCGTTGATACCATGCTTAGTATTTAAATGAAACTGATCTTATTTGTATGCTGTTAAGATTGAAAATTACTTAACTTATTCATAAAATCTGTTTAAAAATCTGATATCGCTGCCGTACTACTCTAACTAATGTAATATTTGTACACGCGCTTTGTCGCTCAATATCTGTTTAAAAATCTGATATTGTGCATTGCTTGCCGTCCCACTCTAACTAGTGAGTATTTGTATCGCACGCGCCTTGTCGCTCGAAATCTGTATAAAATCAGATATTGTAGGAAACGCGTATGATATCGCGATTCGTGTTGGTATAGCGAGTGAGCGAGTATTCGGTACATCAGATTTCGGAAATATCAGATATTGTAAAATACATAGATTTTGTATCAATATATAGTTTTCGTATCTGTATACGATTTTTATCGCCCACTTCTAATTTGAAGTAATCATGTAAGCATAAGTTTATTAAGTATTAATTAAAATTTGACATTGAATTAATAATCAATAAGGTAATTAATTATTTAGTAAATATAGCTTATTTTCCAATCTAACTCAGTGTTAACTTTGCCAAGTCAAAAACATAAAACAATCCAAAATCACAAGAGATGCTTTAGATGAATATGAATAGAACTTACCTGCAGAACTCCTGATGCTCATCGTCGTCTTCCTGGTCCTGGTTGCCCTCGGCCTCGCAGTGGGGGCACGACCACCGACCCTCAGGGGTCTCCTCCAGTTCAGGTTCGAGGCACACCAAGTGGTAAGCGCGAGGACAAGTATCGCAAAGGATAATCTCACCACCTTGTTGGCACACCTTAAAAACAATAACAATATGAACTAAGTTAATGCCTCAAAGCACAAAGTAAATTAAATGGAGTTGTGAACTGATACCATTACAGGATGGCTTTTCTAAACTGCTTAAATTCACACAGTAGTATAATCGTTTATTGAAATAAAAACGAAATTTTTTTTTTCAAAAAAAAATTGCCATTCCAATCTTTAAAAAACAGAACTTGTTGACAATGCAATAGTCATTCATAAATGAGTTGTTTACTTCTGAAACAAACTTTTGTGCGCGTTAGTTATGAATGAGTTGCCCATAAATCACGCACTTTTTGAGATATTTATTTAGAAGTTCATTTGAATGTATTTAATTAATGACGAGTGATTTTAAATGTTTATCATTTTTATATACATAATTTGTCTAGAATTTAATAAAAAAAATGGATATGCTTAAAAAAGCCTCCCTGTATAAGAAATTTTTAAAGATCAATTCACTTACCTCACAATAATCTTGATGTTCTTGTTCACCCTCTGCACCATCTGGGAATTTATTTGTAGTCTTCAATTTTCTCTTCTTCTTGCTCTTATTTCCAATTTTTGTCTTTGCCTTTTTCTTCGGTGGTTGCTAAGGAGATAAAGAATACAATTAATATTATAACACGTTTTTAATAAATATAAATAATAGAAATATGACATAGGGGTGAAAGTATTAAAAATTCATACTCACTGGAACATTGGGGTCCTCATCCTTTGGTGGAACACCTTCCTCAGTGGCACTGGCCGTTGATGGTTTCGGCTCCTCTGCTTCGGCTAACATTTGTTCAAACTCTGCATCAGAATCTGTATTCACGCCAGGACTACCTTCTTGCTCTTCCTCCTGCTTAATAAATAATAATACAAATTGATGTATGTCATACCACAATGTACATATTAAATTTTATAATGCTTTATCCCAACTCTGTTATAGAACATATATCATAAAGATTTTTCATGTCAATAATTGATCTAGTTTAGGCGATTCTTGTATTTGGTAAAGATTTAACATTTCTTTTGACTAAGCTATTACACCGAATTTGAAAGCCTTATCAAAACTGTGATACTTCACACGGTCCACATAATTATGTTAGACTTCAGACCTTTGAACTCTAATCACCTTCCATATCGCCAATGGCTTTCCCTCTGTATTGTATTTTGTGTTGAAGGGGTTGGGTAGTAAGTGCGTTGGTACTACAATTGCGACCTAGAAGATCTATTGTAGTATTCATATAAATACATTGTCCCTTAAGATATAAGGTTATATGTAGGATAACATTGTCCTATGTTGTAAGGATATTTTACATACATAAAAGTCATGTGGACAAACCAAACACGCAAATCCAAAACAATTATCTGTGGATCACGCAAATAGTTGTCTCGTGCAGGAATCGAACCCACGACCCTCTTTAACGAAAGTAAGACCTTGGCAACTAACTGCGCCGCAGAGTATTGACGGATATGGAGGTTGCCAAGTGCGATTCGGACTCGCGCACAAAGGGTTCTGTACCATTATCAATAAAAACAGCAAAAAAAGTCATATCTGTTGAATGGAAGCTCCACTTAAATAATCATCATTAATTCAAAATACATCAAAAAATCTATTTATTAGTATTTGTTGTTATAGCGGCAACAGTAATACATCATCTCTGAAAATTTCAACTGTCCAACTATCTTGGGATTCAACAGCCTGGTGACAGACAGACAGACAGACAGACAGCGGAGTCTTAGGGTTCTATTTTACGTTTTGGATATGGAACCCTAAAAATTAAAGGATACATATTCTTAAAAACGATGTTCCCAGCAGTACAGTGTCACTAGTTGTCACGTTGAATCGAACCCACTACCCGACACGGAAACACCTCGGCAACTAGCCACAGAGACTGACACGAGAAGAAAGTGAAACTGTCCGCATTCAACATACACTGCTGGTCCTCTTGCGCTTGCTGAACTTGATCTTGAGCGTGGGCACCTTCGGCTTGCGGCCTGGCTTGGCGCGCGAGGCGGCGCCGTGCTTCGGCCGCCGGCCGCGCTTCCTCGGCGCCGGGGTGCCTTCGTCGCTCGCCTCCTCCTCCTCCTCGTCCTCGGGCTCGTCGGTCACCTCCTCGGCCTGGCAAGCACATACACACCCAATTGTACTTGTAGTGCACCACACACTATTACCCGTGCGTTTATATGTTACTAGCTTTTCTTTTTGAAGCCCTCAAATAAATATTATCTTCCTTTAAAATATACAGCGTGTTGTTACCATCGCGACAATAAATGAACACATGTCTAACGCTACTTGCCAATAATGATAAAAAATATTAGCGTTAAAAAAATCCATAATTAAAACAAATATATTTTTCAAACAAACTAATTAAGTAAAAAAGAAACAAAATCTGTAACATCCTATACAACTACAACTGACTGATTCATACATTCCGAGACTTTTTCATTCGTTGCCACAGCGTCGCATTACAAGCCTCTCCTTCTAACAGTATGTTTTGTCTGTTTTAAATTCATTCAACCCATTCATATGCTTTGTGACCTTTACAAATGAACTTCACGTTTTTATTATTTTATACGTAAGGGTGTTCTAAAATTGTTTGTATTTGAAAATTTAATAACTCGATAAATATTGATGTTTAAAGAATGTAAATTTTTAATACAATTTAAAAAATTATCAATTAAATTTAAAAAAATTATCAAAAAATTATTAATTATTTAATAATTTAATTAAGATTGTAAAGACACGCTGTATATAGGTATATTTTAAAGTTATTTCCAATTAAAAAATAGCCATGTCCTTTCTCAGGCTCTAAACTATCTGTGTACAAAAAAGTCTTTATAATATTAGTATGGAAGTATGGATCATTCATGATTTAATTTTAAGTTGTTTTTTCTTTTAACTTTTTTTTATGTATTTTTTGTATGTACTTTAATAAGTTTTTTGTTTTCGTTCTAATTTCCATTTGCTAATTTCGTAAGTTAATTAAACGAAGTATTTCATTCGATGTTGTTTTTACCTTTAATTTTAACGCACATTTGTATTATCACATCAGAATCATAATTGATTTTTTATGTATTTAGTTGGTAACCTTGTTTAAATAAATAAAAATACCAATATCAAAGAGTATCAACAATTGTTTAAACGACGCCTGGCGCGTGCATGAACCAAATTCTTATGATAGCACAATCTGTTTGTTACCTGTGCATTGATATGATACTATACTCATAGAATAACAAGCAAACCTTATATTAAATTTCGAAATTCTTGAAATATCTAATATATAAAATTCTTGCGTCATGGTGTTTGTAATTTAACTCCTCCGAAACGGCTCGACCGATTTTCGTGAAATTTTGTGTGCATACCGGCCAGGATGGAAAATCGGACATCTCTTTTCATCCCCCTAAATTTTAAGGGTGGACCAACCCAAACATTTTTTTCTACCCTACAAATAGTTTATATGGCAAAACAACGTTTGCCGGGTCAGCTAGTTTTTTTTATAATATTATGGTAGTGCAAACATGCATTACGTGTTTCCTAAATTGGAAAGTCAATGAAACAATACGTCTTCATACAATAAAATAATTTTGACAATTACTCCAATTTTTCTTTTCAAAAAAAATATACAAATCGTCATTTCAAGGTCTCAGATTCAGCGTAGCGATTTGACAATTTTGTGACGGACTTAACTATGATAACTTGACGCCAAAGAATTGGGTACAATTGGGATTAAGTTTGGCTAAGTTAATTGTTACCTTTGTATCTTTTGTGGGTCTTGCGGTCCTCGCTTTGGGCGTGTAGTCCGACGCCGTGGATGTGTTTGTGTTCTCCTCGGAGCCCATTGCCTGCGTACTGCCGCCACTCAAGTGGGGGTTTGTCTCGCAGAAGAGCCGCCACTTCGCTGCTACCAGCATCATAAGCTTTGAAACTGGCACCTGTTTATTATAAAGGGAAGGATGTTTATCGTGTTACCAATATTAAAAAATATGAAAATGTTGTTTGCAACGTTAAAGACATTTTAAGATATTTATGCTTGTATTATTGTAAAGTTTTGTCGTGTGAAGGAAAACAAAAATAGAGTAAGAGTTTATTTACAATCGGAGTATGATCTCTGAATAATATTATATAAATTTAATTAATATTCATTTTAAAAATATATTCATAGGATCTAAAAAATACCTTCGGATTCTCTTTGACGAGGAGCGGCCGAACATGCTGTTGGAATAGTTTGTAAGATGTGAGATTTTCCAAATCAGCATCGGTGTATTGGATATCTACATCTGTTAGGCTGAACGAAGAGCAAACCTCTTCGACAGTTGGCATACCTGTGATAAATGAGATTTAATTTAATGATTTTTAATTGAATTATATAGTACTATACAAGTCAACTTTTTAAGCAAAACAAAACCGACTACAAATATCTCGCTCTGTATTAATTTTATAATTGGTTTCAGGAGTTCCCTACCTATCCTCGGTATCCAAGATCCAATACCAACGAAATTAAGATGGGACCACATCAAATAAAAAAAGAATCATCAAAATCGGTTTACTCAGTAGAAAGTTCTGAGGTGACAAACATAAAAAAATACAGTCGAATTGAGAACCTCCTTCTTTTTTGAAGTCGGTTAAAAAATAATCATAATAAATTGCAATAACAATAATGTGTTGGATGTCAAGTTATGTCATATAGAAAATATATTTTAAATACAATATTATGAGTTTCGTACAAACATATTAAGATAGCAAAAGGGGTTGGAGATATCTCTTCATCTAACCAGTAAAACCAGTATTTACTGAGTTTCGTTGCTACGCACTGTTGATAAACATTTGAATCCGTCATATTTGATAAGTAGCAGCAAGACATACAACAAATCTTTTAATTATTAATCACTTTTACAACAACCGAGCTTGCCGAACAAAAGTTTTGATAGCTCAGTTTCCGGGCGATCGTTTTTAATTTAGTATAATCGAACAACCCAAATAGAAACCCCGGTGCCAACGATGAAATTGTTAATTGCAATTTTAATTGCTGCCTTGTCAAGTGCTGGGCGGTGACGGAAAACATCGTGAGGAAATCTGCATATTTTCGAAGTAATAACAAAAAAAAATTGTACGAAGTAGTGTGTGAAGTCTGCCAATCCGCAGTGGGGTCGCGTGGTGTACCACATTCGATTACCCTCTGTACAGAGGAGGCCCTTATCTGACAGTGGAATTAATATAGGTTGTTACTTTACTTTAACATGCGTGCAAAAATATGTTTCGCAAATTTATGAAGTCTTGAATGTTAAGAAATTTTAACAGTTTCAAATATAATTCTCGAAATAAACATTAAACACGCACAGGAATCATCTGTTTAATACTTTGTCTATTCCAACTCATCATATAAGCTTCTCATAAACGGTACGAGAGTCGACAATCACGATTGAAAGTTCTATCACGGGGCTAGATTTGCTAAAAAATTAACAAAAACATTTCTCTCATAGAACATTATACGAACAAATAGACTACTTAACGCATACACTTATTTGCTAAAAATATCGATCTAAATGCAAATTTTATGTTTCAGCTACTTTCACGTAAGGTGAAAATCTAACAGACCGATTCTACACGTGTTGTATTGAATGCTTGTATTGGACGTAGCTTATGACCACCATGGAAATGTAACTTGTTGAATTAATAACAGGTGCACATTAAATTACTCAATGATACATTTTTTAAGAGATCTTTTCTCTTCCAAGTTGTAACAGTCAAATCTAGTCTACTTTATGATACATTAAACAGTTTAATTCTATGTATGCTCGTAATATTCCAAGCAATTGTATTTGTTACAAGAAAGGACTAAACTTGTCCATTTTAAAAACTAAAACTTTTCGGCGTTCCGGTGCCGAAGCCGTAACCGCCGCCGTAACATTTGCAACACCCGTAGGGTTGATCTGCCCATTCGTGCAATAGCCAAGACTATTGCGTGGCCTAACCACCGTTAAATTAATATTAGAAAGGGAAGAACTTGCTGTCTTTCTGCTCGGATCATAATATAACAATGCACTCATAAAAAACAGTAGTAATACAATCGGGAGCGGAACTTTCAAAGTTGTACTGTTATACTGCACATTAAGTCAATACAAATAAATATATTCCTTATTTTGGTATTCGAACCATTACATAAATTCGAAATTTAAAATGAATGCGGAATAATAATTTGCTATGTAATGTTTTTTTTTTTTAATTTCTGTCCTTAAAATGCTCTTATAAGGTTTAAAGTTTTATTATTTAAAATTGTGAAGTGTCTTTTAAAAACGTGTTGTAATATTGGGGATAAACGCAAGAAATCATTGTGCCTCATAGTAATAAAATTTTTTGAGCCACACTCGTAAAGTTTAATCTCGCGAGACCTGATGATATAAACTTGTAAAAGTACCTATTGATAACGTTTTGTGTCAAGGATTTCTACAATTTGCCTTAGCCGTGTATACCGGCCACTACGGAGTACGTTTTTTTTATTCTTTAATTAGAATGCATTTAGTTATAAGGTTAAATTAAATTCTTAAGAAATACCTCGAAAAGAAAAACTGGCATATTTCCGATATTTTTGCTCGGTTGTTTCATTTTCAAACATTTTTCATTTAAGAGCTTATATAATTTTAAAAGAAAACATTATTTGAGACTAAATTACTGGTTATCTTGTTACCGTTATTTTTGATACAGCTTAAAGCAATTTCATGGGCAACAATGGGAGAGCTACAAAAAAGATATTGCTAATCAAAAACTAATACTAAAGGAAACAAAAACTGTTACAGTTCTACGAAGAACATCTAGACAGACCTTGTTATATGAACGTAATTTTCCACCTATATGCATTTTTGATGACTATTACACGTTATTATCGTGCCCTAACCAAAAAAACTTAAGAGGGGAAAGAGCAATCAGTTTTTCTGGGTGAAAGCAAATGGGCGTTACTTTTTTAAAGTTTGGTCTCGGCAATGCATGTCATTTCCATCAAATCTGAATATCAGCGGTATGCACACGACAGTGAGAAACGCACAAGAAAATGCTCTCCGAAGTATACCCCAAGAAACAGCTGTTATCCATGTAGGTTCGATAAAACCTACAGACTATAAAGCATTGTGCTCAATGCCTTCTAGCAGTGATCCTACTTTAGTTCTGGGAGACATCCGCAAAAATTATTTCCCTTTAAAGAGTTCCTAGTTGCCCTGCGAAATTTTCGTAAAAAGCAAAACTTAAAGTTAAAACTGATTAATTTTTTTGATCTTATTTGTGTAATTAAAAAAAATGGACGCCATTTTTGTCATGTGATAGAACGGATGACGTAACAAAATTTATATGTTATTGCGATCGACAGAAAAGGTCAACGACCGGATGACCTTCATAGCACCCCAATTTTATGCATCTACTTGCCACATCTAAATTGTACTTTTTATGTCCAAAAAATATTAATTAACTTTGGTCTAGCAATATCAAACACTTATGTACAACTAACAATATTGTTAATAGAATAATATTTATTAGAGCACTTATCACATGCTCGAAAACATTGTGGGGAAATCTGTATAACTTCAAAATAGTAAGAAAAGAAATTTACTTCGAAGTTATGTACCGTCTGTCAATCCGCGGTACGGTCTTGTGGTGTGGACTATGCCCTAAGTCTTATACCCTACAGAGGGTATAATGGCCCCAGTACACATTGGGCCAAAGCGTTTGCGTTCCCGGTGTGTAGCTGGTCACACATTTGCGTACTGCTCATTGTGCATTGGCGCTCCTTTGATGTGTGCTCAAAAAAACGACACAATTCGGCTTGCCGGCCAACGTTCGCACCAACTAAGATTTGTCAAGCCCCTCTACACATTGGTCCAATGTATTGGCCCAATGCGTTGGCCAAATGTGTACAGGGGCCTTAAGACTTAGGGCATAGTACATCTGTACAGACACACACTATTTAAGAGAATACAGACTTTGGAATATAATCTTAATGAGCCATCAACCATATTATAATGCTGTAACTAATCATAATTTATTTAGATAATATTCCAAACAGTAGACATTTCAATTCACAGATTATTTTGCCATATAAAAAAGATGTTTTCTCACAATCAATGAATTGAAATGTTTGACAATAATTTACAGCATTAACTCATGTAAAAGTGATGTAACTCACCACAGCTAGAATCTGATGGGGCTGGAGTAGATGTGTTGTGTTTGCTACCTCGGCCTTTGCGTGACTTCTTACTTGATGACATAGCACTAAGAGCATAGTCACTATCACCCTCTGCCTCAATTTCAAGACCAAAGTCATCATCCTAAAAATATAAATGAAAAATTTTCCAAATTTGTGTTGACTATAAGTTAATACTAAATTCTGCAATATTAAACTTTTTTACATTTAAAGTTATAGACTTACATCTTCGCTTTCGTTTTTGCGCTTCTTCTTCTTCTTTCTCCCCTTTTTGTCTTCTCCCCTAGCCTTACGTTTCTTTCCCTTTTTCTTTTTCCTACCATCTTCTGGAGAGTAATCATCATCCTCCTGTCAAAAACAAATCTTGGGTATGATTACATTTTCTTTTTTTAGAGTTGGTGGTAATATACAAACTAAAACAAGAGTAAACAGACAACAAGTCTATTTAATATAGCTTAGTTTTGATAAAAAATTAAATATCATGATAACAAATCTCATTTAAAATGTGATAAATAAAAGCAAAAATGCAATGAGCGTTTGGATTCTAAATTGAAGAATTATAATTAGGTTTCAATTATGTTTTAATACAAATAAGTGGAACAAATACTTTTTAAAATTAAGTCATCACTTACACTACTAAAAACTTAATTATAAATATACAATATTAATAAATTTCTGCAGTTGTTAAAAACTACAAAAAATCTTTTACCTTTGGTGGGGCCTCATCACTCTCACCAGAATTTTCATTTTGACCCTCGCCCTCTTCTACATCTTCGTCGCCTGAAACAAAAATTTGCACTAAACTGGTCAAACCACTCACCACATGCTAAACACCTGCCCATCACATGAGGAACCATAATTTTTCTCGATGCATGGACATTGCTTGCGGTAAGGTCACTAATCCCTTTGTTTGGCGGCGTCCATTTTGTTAAGTAGTAATGAGGGGTAATGCATGTTCTTTTCTGTCACGAACTGCCACATAAAAATATTTACACCCGAACGACAACAAACTCGCCATTATACTATTAAAACTTGCCGTTTTGCACTGCACTTTATAAATCTTCTGAATTCGTTATACATTCAGCATCACGGAAACCGAAATCTTGAGATATTTAATTGCTTACCACAAGTAAACATATGATACCGCTATTCGCGGCTTACCTATGACATGCTAGTATCAAAATTAACCGTTTACCTGCAAAGGAACCGTCTACTTCATCGTCTGATGCCATTTAGATCACAATATAACACAACCAGAGGGCAGATGAATGGTTTTAATATAGTAAAGATAAAGGACGCGCAGTTTTTGCGACAAATGGTAATTAATTCAGAAATTGATGCCGCCGTCACTACGATGAACTAGTATGGAATAGCAAGATATTTTTTCTCATTCTTACATGCATAGAGGGAAAAAGAAATTTTTGGGATGCCATATGTAAACATTAATAATTGCCTAAATTTGCGGTAAAATATGTGTTTGTTATAAAATTGCTTCATTTTTATACAACTTTATTAGCTACTGGTCTTACAGTCTTATTGTTTTATGTTATTGGATGATTATACCTGGATATTAATAAGTTATTTTTTTCAAAACCTCAGTGATTATCTCCTATTGTTAATAAAATAACTTAAGTTCCAACACATAAATTAAAAGAGATTGTATTGGTATGCATCGAAATTACTTCACTTTTTGCTTTGATGATAATTTTAAGAATTAATTTAAAAATAAAAGGTACTAATTTTTCGTGATACAATCCATTGGACGTGCACAAAAATTAAATGATATTTTCATTTCTTTTTCAAAAGGCTTTTCTTGATTATGAACGTGGGTGTAGCAAATACTCTGTCTTTTTATTTTATTTAGCTTACAAATCCAAAAATGTTTTTATAAATATTTAAAAAACTAATAATGAGTTAGACTTGTTGAAACATTATGAAATCACGTAACATTTATATTCCTTAAAAAAATAATATATGTTATCTCTATCTGTACATATTCAAACTCTGTCAGATACTTATAAGTACTCTTTGACCCGGCGGCCCTCCCTCATTGGTGTGAGATCTGTCAATTTTAAAAAAATCGATTTTTTCTCTATTCTTTCCATACTTTTTCGATTAAGTTTATTTATAAGAATAAGCATACGTTTCCATTTAGACGAGTGGTATATTATAATATTATTATTTTTTGAGAAAATATCAAATTCGTTTCTCATCAATGTATATGTTTATCTTAATTTTAAATTTAATTCATGACTAGTATGTTTTAAAACCATAAAAGGTATTTAAATTCTGATTTTGGCTTTGTCAAATTAAAGAACATATCTGCTTTTCCAATGAACGCGCTTTTAGATTACGGTTCATCATCTTCAAGTGATGCTGAGGAAGATGATATTATGGATGAAGACAAGTAAGTTCAGCGCTTACATTGCATTCAAATATTTTTTTTTATATATTGTATTATATTATTATTGTTATTGTGTCACTTTATTTTTAAATCTTTGTAGATACACTAAAGATGAAAACAGCCATAAACCAAAACTTCCCAAACCGACCCTTGGAGAAAATCATCTTCACACATCTGTATTCTCTAATCCATTTGTGGAAGCGGAATTGGCAAAAGCTGCTATATTAGAGAAACATGTCAAAATGGTATATGTTGACTTTCAATTATAGTATTAGTACTATTTTTCATAATTATTAAATTATGTAAATGCACAGATAACTGCTAAAATCTACATTTTAAATTCTTATTTATACATTAACTAATTATTTAATGTACTTTAATATTTATACTAAAACAATTGGAACATTTGATTATTGCCATTAATTTTAATTACAGCTGAATCTATTAATCTGGTATTGTTACTTGGATACAGAAAATGGTAGCAATTGTGTAATATTAAGAATTTGTAAAATTCCTGGACTTGAGAAATATTTCTCTTAGAGGTTCATAAAAAACTTAATGACTGAACATCTTTAATAACATTATTTGCTTCATTTAATAAAATGGATACAAGTTAATACTAAAAGTTCATTTTATTATATAATGTTATTGAAAAATTATCCTTTTTGAAAAATGCTCCTTCAAAGAAAAGGAAAATTTTTAGAATATCTTAACAAAATAAAATTTTATTATTTCCTTATTATGTTTATGTTAATGCAGAGTGGGAAAATTTTGTATCCAATTTTATATACAATCGTCAAGTACATAGTCAATGACTGTAAGGTTCCAGGTAAAGACAATACCCAAATGATTAATGGTAAGAAAATATGCTGGAACTACAGAAAAGGAAGATGCAGGTTTGGACACAATTGTAAATATGCACATGATTCTGATATACAGAAGACGGTTGAAGAATTGGAAGCGGAGAAACAGGTTCGAAAACAGTACAAATATAATAAAATTCTGTTTCTCTCAATAAGATTAAATTGAAAAATGATGATAAAAAGTAATAATTTTTTTATCCATTTATATTTAGATCGAATGTATATTTTCTTTTAAGCAAATATTATTCTTCTTACTAAAAAAAATAAGATCTTCAATACTCTCAATTTCAGAAATTGAAAACAGTTGTATGTGAAGGGACGGGTACAATGTCATCAGCACCCCCACCACAAGTGGTCCTAGAAGCATCATCTGCAACTGATGATGATGTTTGGGAAGGTGGATCAAATAAGAAGAAAAAGAGACCAGGCTTGAGTTCAGGGCTAGTTCCTGGAAAGAAAATCATTAAGATGTATAAAGAACAAAAACTCAAAGATGTTATAAATAAATAAGTGCCAAAAATACACTTTATCCCATCATTACACTAGACATTTCAGAACAAATAGATAGGTTTTTCTCCTTTTAAATACATTATAACAACAAAGTTGTTGACATTAATAAATAATAGACTTAAATAGTTTCAGCATGAAAAACAAGGATGGAAAGTTAATTAGAAGACTTTTTCAGGATAATATATTATGTAGTCATTTAGACAATTACATCTTAATGTTTGCATTCCATTTAATAAATTGCATTGTTTTATCTAATACTAGATATAAAACCCATAAAATTCTCATAGAAACAATATGAGTTAAAACAGTATTTGAAAATTGTTACTTTATTTCAAACATGTTCCACTTCTACAGTTAACAGTTACAGAATAGTACAGTATATAGAATTAGTTTGATGTGTAACATAGCTTGTATGCTAGTAATTACATAAGTTATAAAAATAAATGTTTACTACTTTTACTTTATTTCATTGAAAACCCCTGTGGAAGCTCTTGTCTTGGATAGTCATATGGTGTAAGTCATTAATAGAAAAAGTTATATGACCTCGGGTCTAAATGAATCAAACTCTTCATGTACCAATGAACTGCTTTGGGTAGCACCTTGTTTCCCAAATTTAATATTACAAATTTATCTAGACCAAAAACGCCTCGATAGCCAGTGTGTTACTGTGATAACAGAAAAATTAGTAACTAATGTTGTTAAACATTAAAAATTGTAATTGTAGATACTTGGAACAAAAACTTTCGGCGCTTGGGGATTCGAATCTGCGTCTTCTGGTTTCGCGCCCAGACGCTTTACCAATACCGACTAAGCAAAAAAAAATCTTGACATAGATCTACGTTCGTTCTATTGCGTTTTTAGCAATGCTTGACGCATCTAGTGTGCATCCATTACAGCATACAACGCAGTATATATGTCTTATCTATGATACAACGTAATAAAACGAACGATGTATGTAAATACAGTTTTACTTTAGTGTCAGATGTATCACGTAGTGTAAACGTAGTGATTACATTCTCTATGAGATGTATACGGATATCTTTAGCGAAGGTTTCAGTTTAATATTAGCTGCTATGTGTAGCCCAGTGGTGGGCAAACTTTTTTTACCGAGGGCTACAAAATTTAAGAGGAGAGCCAGAAATTTCGAAAAAATGCATTTTATGTTAAAATTTATAGAGATAATATTCAATAAAATTAACGAAAAAACAAGCAAATCGTCAAGTAACAGTTGACAAAAGGCGAGTAGCAATTAAATTCTCCTGTTTTACCGCCCGCGACTCACATTTTACCACACTCTGCGCCTTTTATAACGAATTCCATGAACTACGGAGTTAATTGATGAGATTCACCTATAGGATATGCATCTAAAGGTTTATTATTTAAATGTTAATTTATACTTTTCGACCGTTTAAAGTACTAGTAGCGGAACTTATATATCCCATGTCGATGGACCCTCGCCGGCCGGATCAAATTCTTATAAGGGCCGGACATGGCCTGCGGGCCGTACTTTGCCCACCACTGATCTAGCCTGTTTGAGTCCACAGCTGAACATATGTATCCCCCACAAACCGCGTCGAAGCAAGATCTTGAGCCATCTGCATCCATCAACTTCACTCCATTGGAGTTTTTTTATTGGAAGAGGTGGTAAGCGAGCTGGCGGTTCACCTGATGTTAAGTGTTAACCGCCGCCCATGGACATTTGCAATACCCGTTGCAGATACGTTGCCACCTTTTTAAAGTGTGTGAAAAGTATAACACTTCCACTTCACTCCGGTTTTGTAGTACTAACCTGGACGGCCCCGGCCTTTTTAATGCGAACTGCTGCGTTGCTCTATCATAGTTACACTCATACGAGCCGATCTTTTAAGTACGATATAAAATGTAGTACATGCAGGCGAAAAGCTAGTACGGTACCTAATAAAAATCAATTATTTTTTACGACGGCTCGGTCTGTAATTTTTATTGGTCCTAGTTCGAATGGTATAAAAAGACATAATTAGAGCAATAAGAAAAAGACGTGCGTATTTGTCACTTCAGCTCAAATCTCGAGATATATCCGTCTTTCTCGTCTCCGTATTAAATTTATTTGCTGTCCCTTTCTTTGTTTGCTTTCATGCCTTCATTCCACGCTTGTTAACAACATATACACACCTAAAATATCAAAGTCCTACGCTAGAATCGTTGGCTCATGAATCGTAGGTATATCCACGTGGTCTTGTTTTAATTGTTAAGTTACTTCGTCGTTCCGATCGATATTATATCAAATAAATGGTCACGACTATGGTCTAATGGTCACCACAGAAGAGATTACGTATTTATAAACTGACCATACGTCCCGTTTTGAACGGGACTGTCCCTTTTCTCGGACAGCTGTCTCTTTGTCCCCGAACAAATCTTCGGGACGCAAAATTGGCCCGTTTTACGAAACCTCGCGAAATTTTAAAACCACGATCAGACATAATCATGAACAGCACGGAACCGCGATCGGTAATTCCCAGTTATTCCTCGCATGCACACGCTCTTGGTTACTTAGTAACGAGGTGAGGAGCATTTGTTTCTTTCAATAGGCTAGCCATGCGCATGTATTCTGACTTCTTTGTTTTTGTGTAACGTTCGATAGTTTTGTAGATAATTTGAAGTTTTGTTGTTTTGACATTTTTCCTATAGTTATGCCGAAACCCGAGTGGTCATTTAATGTCAACCTACAAACAAAATACCCATTTATTAAGCAAATTAAGACTCTTTTCGTATGTCAGATGCGAAAAGTGTCGCACAGTTTAGTATTTCCCATAGTGGTGCTGGTGACTGAAAAGCTCTAGTTCTGAAGGCGATGCTGATAACAAAGGTCAACATAAAAGAAACGTGCAAAATATTATTTTTATTTAAAATCGTCACCTTCTTTATTAAAACGTTCCTCTGCGAAATATAAAATATTGTTGCTGCTTACCAACGTTGTTTTAATAAAAATAGTGAACTGATGATTTTTTTCTTTGTATTTTTTAATTTATGTTTATTTTCATTGTAAATCAATGTCCCGTATTGAGTTATAAAGAAAGTGGTCTGTTTACGTATGTACCATTTTCCTTATTCTTCATTCAGACACATCATTCTTATCGACGAATTTTATATTTTCTTCTTCAGGAAATGCCAATTTTATTTCTACCAGCACTCTAATTGCAGGTTTAAATCGAAAAAAAAAATTAAATAAAAGACAAGATAAATTGCACGTCTTCTTTATTCATGAAACATTGCCAAAATATTGAGAAATACATGCAATTCGATAAATCGAAGCTGTCAATGGCACTCGCAAAGGTCAAGAATACAGCACTGTAAAATGTTGGTAGCTTTATTAATTTCGATATCATCAATTTGTATATGATTTTTGGTTATCCTACTACATTTATGTGCATGTTTTTTTCATTTTCGTTTTTTACTTTGTAATATACACATACATTACTTATAGCACAGCCATATAAAAGAAATCTGACAACATGCAATCGAAATAAAATGCATCATAAGCCTGATGCTTACCACTGCTTGTCTGTATTTTTATTGTAAACATTTATGAGCATATCTATTCAGCAGCACAAGCTAAACAATCGCTTAACATTAAAATGATAAATAATTTTATCTAGATAAAGATTTCATTAGTCACAATGGACATACTTTTGGTGTAGGTCTCGTACTGAATTATCCTGTATAAGGCTAAAAAGTATTAATCAACATTATGTTTGAAACTTTAATAATTCAATTAAAAGTAAGTACAATGTACCTGAAAAAAAATGGCATTATTAAATGTTTCATTCTTGTTACTCATTTCCGAGAAACAAATGTTCTACAGCATGATTTCACATACATTTTAAGATATATGTGAATAACTACAGACACTATGATGACGCTAAACACCATGAATATTTTTTTCTTTATTTCTAAATAACACATGAATTTGATTTATTTTAGCTAACAATAAATATATTTAAGAACAAAACTACGATTGAGAAAATTCTACAAATCTAAATATAATCTGCTACTAGTCTATGTTTGAAGCAACAATGCTTACTTTAATAATTATTGCATTCATTAAGTACTATGACAGATGTATGCGAAATATATTCGAATATACAATACTGTGTAAAGGCACAAACAATATAAACTAGTTATGTATATTAATATTTCATTTATGCAGTTTTGGAGTATGCAGGCGTTTAAATACATAATTTTTTTATAATCAAAGAATACTATAAAAATAGATTTCATTTGGCATGTATACAATTTTATGGATACATAATATGTATATTTCAAGAGTTTGCATTAAACTGTAATATTTGCAATGGCGATAACTTAGTAATTTCAACATACAAATATTTACTTTAATAGTTAACCTTAACTTATATTAAATTTCCTTTTGGTGTATATTGAAACGTTACAAAGTGGAATTAAATAAAGTTTAAATTTAATTGTACAAAAAGACTAAACAGTCTACTTGTATTTAATTCTTATAATCATTAGGTTCTTAGAGCAACTTTCTTGGGTATCTTTGGTGTCCTCAAGTCCATGCCATGGTTCTTGTAGTTATTAAGCTCCGTTTCATGAGCTTTCCCATTAATAATGTTTCCATTGGCTACAAGGTCTTGGCCATTCTTCTTATGGTGACCAATTGGCTTGCTGTTATACCCATTGACTTTCTCACCAAGACCATTATGTTTTTCAACACCATAATCATTTATCTTATCACCATGGCTATTAATTTTGTCACCAGTGTGACCATTCATGCTCCACTTAGCTTGTCCTGATAAAATAAACCAAAACAAAATGATAATAACAAACCAAAAAAAAAGTTTTAATTTACTAGACATTATCCAATGAAACACTGGCAAAATTGTGTTTATGTGTAAACTAATAAACTTTTTAGAATAGATTGATGGTTGTCATTACAGTTAGTCCATGTTATGTGATTCATCGGATGAAAGAAATTCAATGCACGCATGTCCCACACTGTTGGTTTTCGCATCTGTAAAATTACGTGTCGCCTTTAATTCTTTTTACAGCCCATTCCGGGCTACTAAAGTATAATCTAGCGCTAAGTAACACGACAACATACTGTGCAACACATTAAATAGATGGCCATTGAGCACAACATCTAGGTACAATTACTAATAGGACAACATCAAGTTATCTATTTTAAATAATAAAGAAAATCTATACTATTACACAATTACGCCAGTGTTCATATAAATAGGACATGCACAAATAAATCACATTGAATAAATATTTTCATTTGTTACATGGAAGAAAATGTGAGAAAATAGCTTTGAGAACTATTTGATGAAGGCTAAGAACAAGCAAATAAAATGACAGCTTACATTGCCACAATCTCAATGTTAAATAAAAAGTTATGTGATGAATTTATGATTGTAAATTTACATTGACATGAGTCTATTATGATCTTTCATATTATAACAAATTAATAAACAATAAATTTCATAAACATAACTTTTCATTTTCTGTTCAGACAGATTTAGCAGATTTGTATAAAGCATGCAAAATGATGATAATGATGAGTGCTTCTTAATATTGATTCCAATGTCAGTTTTCATAGTAAATTACGAGCTAAAACTTTTCCAAAACTTGGTAAAAATTTTTCAAACAATAAAATAAAAAAAAAGAGTTATTATTTATTAAAACATTATACTGTAATTGGAAACAACATATTGATTATTCATAATATACTTGCCATTGGCATCGCTACCGGAGTAATACTTTTTTGATGTCTTCCAATCTTCCTTAAGTGACAAGTTGTACATAGAATAAGCGGGTTCACCAGTTACTTCTTTCTCTATAGTCAGGAACTTTGGTAGAGATGCTAATAGTGCATCTTGATCATAAGCAGCACTGTATGTTTCAAGCAACACCAAACCACGACATCTAAAAACAGCAATATTTAAGTCACAAATAAGAAAATTTCATACCCCAACACTTTCACACACCGTCTATACTAATGAATGAATGACTAATGCCTGGTTTCTGAAACACTAATCATCATAGAAGTCAACTAATCAGCTGTCAAATGTTATTAAAGTTGCCAAAAGGATGGTTAAACTCTTTGAATTGATCATTCTCATTATTAAGATCATTCTGATCAATTCAAAGTTTAACCATCCTTTTGGCAACTTAAATAACATTTGAGATGCCATTTGACAGCTAATTAGTTGACTATGGTGATCAATGTTTCAGAAAACGGGCGTCACTCTTTAATTATTAGTACCCGGAGGACCGAGCTTTGCTCGGTTTGTTTTTTTTTGGTAAATCAAGTGTTTTGGAAATTACATTTAGATACAAATTACCGAGTAATGAAATATGCGTAAAATTTTTCGATCTTACCGACCTAATAATAAGAAAATATGAAGTGGCGTTTTTCACAAAAGAAACAACTTTAAAAAAAAAGGGAAAAAAGTAACAAAATAACAAATCGACGAAAAAATTAAAAATAAAGAAAGCAATGATCTGGAATCGAAAAAAAAGTAAAAAAAAAAGTGTGTAAATGATCGTGATACGAACCACGGCCGTCTGTTTTGGGGCCGCCCGATTACCGACCGAGCTATTATGACATTTCTTTTGCGGCGAATTTTACCGTCATATTCAAATGATATTTTTCATTCCCTGAAAACAGGGATAAAAGGACATTTTCTAAAAATAAAACCTAGCTAGATCGATTTTTCGCCCCCGAATCTACGCACATACTAAAATTCGAGATTCCGATTATATATATACAAGAATTGCTCGTTTAAAGGATAAGATATATATTTCTGTATCTATTTTCTGAATCACCTGGGATGTGTTGGCTGCCTGTATATATCCAACTGGTAGTACTGATTGTTGTATATGAAGCAGCGTCGTTTCTTGAAGATCGTGAAGTGGGCGTCGTCGCGCTGCGGTAGCTGATTGAGGTAGTCCCTGTGGGTCAACTGGGTGCGCACTTCGACTGACTGGCCATTGGTCGGGTGGAACTTCCGCACAGTGTGTATATACGACCAGTGGCCCTTCTGGCCGCGCTTGCGCAGGCGGACCTGCGCTTTGCGGAAATCGCTCTGCAGGTAGTTGTGTACGACGTCGAAGTCCTGGAATGGGGGGAACTCCGAGTCCGGTGGGAGGGGCGTCTTGACGAGGAACTTGCGCTTCTTGGAGTTGACGTTGAGCCGGTCGCCAGTGTCGATGCCGATACGCTGGCACACGCAGGCGATTAGGCGGTTCATCTTCTTATCGAAGTCCGTGGAGTTGTCTATGACATCGAAGTACGGGTGGCCCACCCAGGCGGCGGCTGCGTTGTAGTCCAGCTCCCGAGCGAGCTCCATTCCTTCGGAGCGACACGCGTGGTCCTGTGCAATAATTAAATGTATAATTGAGTTGTGATTAATTTGGGTGGTAGTTATTTTGTTATACAACAGTTATACAACAGTTAAACTACACTTACTTCAACCTATCGATAAATCAGTCTAACATTGTAACAAATGCATCATACAACTTGATTTATTGTTATCTGCTAGTCAGCATGTTAAGTTATTATTGCTTATTATACATAACATGCAACTAGGAGCGCGTGCAATACTTGCTTATCTATTACGATACAATGTAGATAAAGGCTCTCGAGATAAATGCCTTCGTAATAAAACCACTGGAATACGGCACTTGGTTTATTTTTAATGAATTTATTTACGTTTACGTAGTGCTTAGGATTATTATTTATAAATTATTGAATTTATTTAATCGCTATGGTACACGAAAGTGATTAAAATGTTTATTAAATCACTATTAAAAAAATTATCCGATTTCGAATAATCGATGTGTTGGTACCGCGGTAGAGGCAAGGTGTAGCAATTAATGTTTTTGCATGAGTAGACTGCGAATTTCCATAGCCTCACAGAGGACCGAAGAAAAGTAGGCGGTTACCTCCCTCATCTGCTTCATCCCTTAAAGGTTGACAAACCTGTAACCTCGACGATAATCACTCGATTCTATCCGATTATTATTTTTTGAATGACTTGAGTATGCATACATATACATTATACTATAAAAATTATATTATATTGCATTGTTTATGTGGGTTACTATAAAAATATACCACATTACGGATTTCGTATATCTTAATCGCTGATATAGCAGCAGACTGTTATCGCCGACAGCATTCAGTCGTGTGATTACGTCCATATGGCAAATGGCCAGCGATTCATCAATGTCAGCATACAGATCTGGGTGCATTGTTAACAAGTCATGCGAGGTGTAATTCAATCATAATTTGCACATGCGAGTTGAGTGATGGCAGGCGAAATGGATTTGGACGTCGTGTTTACATCAACCACGGTCACGTGTGCGGCCACGCCTGCTTTGACGTTACTAAACTTCAACTTTTTGTTTATTTGCGTGGTACGAAAACGATCAATCCCATTAGCGTACTCAAACGAATATTACTTTTACTGGAGCCGAAAATATAACGAAATTGGACTCATACGTGTTTTTAACACCAATAGAAGCAAGAATAGCAACTGATATTCACTTTTGGAGAGGATAAATCCCAAACGAAACTGGCAGCGAGCCTATTGTACGAGGCAGTGTAAATATTAACTTAGTAAGTTTATTTCAGCACGCCCGTGGAATTAACCTTAAGATGCGAGTTGAGGCCCAGCTACTAGGTCACAAAGTGACATCCAATAATGGAATGAGACTATTAGTTACTCGTCATTGAATGTTTACATAGTCCAGGCATTCATGTCGATGCTTCAGTGCAAATTGAACTTTTCTATTCATGATTATTGATATTTACTTGATTAAATTTACAAAAATTACATTTACTTATGCTTTCGCACGCGACGTTCCAATTTGAGTTTGGAATAGCAGTAACATGAAAATATATAAATATATCTTATGAGTGTACTCACTAAGAAACGCACGCAGCGTTTCTTAGTGAGTGTGACAAAATTTCTAGTCTGTAACCCTCAAAGTTTTGACTCTAGTTTAATTACACTACATTAAATTATTATAATTTTTCTTAATCAAAGTACAAGAACAAAATCAGAATCTGAGACGTTTCATCTTGTTGAGATTGGCAACGCATCGTAATCGGGGCATAACAGCAATTACACAACAGTCTTATAATGAACAATAACGCGCTACGCTAATTACCTGTGTGATTGCAATAAGGAGAACAAAAGCTTTTTAATAATTCTGCTATTCATATGGAATAGTAGAATAACACAAATTTATTCTTAAACTGTATTATTAAATTGTGCCATTAAATATAGGCTAGGTAGTATTTGTGGTTTCAATATGGTCAAGGATAACAAAACACTTGATTAAATAAATTACCGCAGTTCTGGGGCAGTAAGTTTCTATGTTGGCACAGCACAATATAGAAACACGTTTGTATTCTTTGGTTGCATGTCACTATAGCATCATGCCATATTTATTTGATGTATAAGCATAACCTACTTGTTATCATACTTCGAAGTATTGGTAATCAGTAGTAACAAGTATAAACTAATAAAATAATTGTTCTCAACTTTGACATTAAACTTGATGAATTATCACTACATAGTATAAAATAAAGTCGTCCCGCTATCTGTCTGTTCCTATATAGGCTTAGATCTTTAAAACTACGCAACGGATCTTGATGCGGTTTTCTTTAATAGATAGTGATTCAAGAGGAAGGTTTATATGTATTCATGCAAAATATAGTAAAGAAACACTAATAGTTTTAGAGGTATCTAATGCGATGTCGAAAACAAACAGCATTGCACCCGTGCGAATCCGGGGCGGGTAGCTAGTACTTTATATAAAGCACTAACATTCTCACTACAAAATGTTGTAATACATACTTATTTTATTGTAACAAGTCTAGGTTATTAGAATTATTTGAAATTTATTCGAATCCTAAAAGCACCAAATTGTCACATTGTATCTATTCTGGCAATAGTGCAATGTGATTATGATATACTTATTTGGTTTTAGCGTTACCTCAGTTGAGTAAAAGTCTTCCGCGCCATTCGCAGCCGAGACCATGTGGACGATGTGGTTGTATCGATTGTCGCGCAGTTCAACGCTGTTCCAGTTGTTAGCGTTCAACATCTCCTCCCATTTCTCCTTCGAAATAACTGCAATGGACAAGGAAGCGATTCCGTTAATCATTTAGCAGGAAAGTGAGATAAGACTATAATATCGGCTCTGCCATGGAAGAATCATTCTTCTCGGCAATGTTCCTTCATTCTGCTAAAGTCAATAAATTGTGAAGAGTTGTTCTTATTTGACATTTGTTTTCATATCAAATATTGACGCAAGATTCTATACACCCGGTGGCACCGTTGTTAAGCTATTGGCTTCGGCGTCGGGGACGTGGGTTCGATTCCCACACGGGACATGTATTTGTGTAACCCACAGATAATTGTTCCAGATCAGTGTGTTTGTTTCCCAAGGAGGGTTTACGTCAGTCATGCGGCCGGTCGTAAAAAACATAGTCAAAACTACTTTCAACGTGATCCACATGGTGTGCCGATCCCAGGATAAGGGCTGGAGAATCATGATGATGACGATTCTATTGTCTTGAATAATTTGTGATGGATATAAATGATCGACCAGGGCAATAATAACATTTGATTATATTACCTCCCTAAAACAGACAGCAACTCTTTGTCTGGTTAGACAGCATGTTTTATGTTAAAAAAAAATGTGAATTTTCGTAGATAAATGGACAAAAACTTCGGCGCGGCGTCATTCGAATCTCACACTTCCGGGGAACGCGCTCAAAATTTTTTTACTCATTTATCTAGACTGCATAGGTTTAACGTCAATGCCAATCGTCATTAGCATAAATCTCGCAACGTCACCGTGAGTATTAATTTAATAAATAAGATCTATCCGAGGTTCGAATAACATATTACGTACATATAGATAAATGATTTCATATGCTAAAAAATCACGATACACACAATGATAGGGTAGAATTAGCGTCAGACGTAGCGAACACGTCATCATCTCGGTTACATAAGTGAATATATTACAGCAGCCACAAAGCTGGATGCGTAAAAGTAAATATCCCTTATAAATTTAAAAATATTTCGTTTTAAATTTGAATTTGAATTTCCTCGTATAAAAGCGAATACACATTGGCAAAAATGACGAATTTACGAATACGCGGATGGTCACTGTAGGGACTTCCCCGTCAGAATTTTAATAATAATTTAAACATGATAAAATCAGGCTGTATCAACAAGTGTTTATGACTGTACTTTAAAGTGATGCGTCATTTTATGTATAAGAAATATAACTTGAAAACGAAGTTTGTAATAAATAATTTTTTTTTTTTATTACAACAGCGACAATATTATTTTTTAAACATTTAATAAGATATTTAAATTGTTTATAGTGCTAATCTTTGCACTTAAGATTGAACATTAAAATATGTAGAAAAAGTGCGAAAAGATTGTGATGCTAAGAGCATTTCAAATGCTAAGAAAACAATGTGGAAGAATGCGTTAAGATTTTCGTCGGTGTGGCAATCAGCCGTTTAGCTCAGTGGCTAGAGCGTCAGGCCGCGAATGCCGAAGACGTGGGTTCGATTCCCACAACGGCGACAATCTTTTCGCACTTTTTCTACATATTTTAATTTAATAAGATGTTACATCTTATACGATTTTCAAATTATGTCTGAACTTAGGGTCTAAAGTAATCCTGACACTAAACTAGGAATTTGTATTTAAATGATTTGTAAACTGATTATGTTATCGCACTTTTAAGGTGCTGGGTCTTAAGAAAATACGTTTCGTTCCAGCTCCACAAATAAGACGATTACATTTCCAGACGCCAGACTATCGACCTTTATGTCGCTATCCTAGTTACAAAATTGACTTACTGCTTCCAAAGGCCGACTCAATTAACGTATCGGTAATTTATAGACTTCAGTGGACTTTGGATGTTTTATTTTTAATGCAACATAACCGTATCCTCTCATCCGTTTTGATAAAAGACGAACTTCAACATAAATATTTACAGCCCCTCAAAGGAGCAGTGGTTAATAGATAGAAATACAAATACTTATTATGCTACGTATTTCCACTAGCTGAGATCCTTTCGAATCTTATCAGACTTACGTACAATACATTACTTTATTCATGCTCGTTGGTTACGCGCACTATTTACGTAACTCTTTTAAATATGTTTTAAATATCAATGTGTGCAAATATGTCGTATTGCTTTTTTTTATGTGAAAAGGTAGCAAGCGAACTGGCGATTCATGTGATGTTAAGTGATAGCCGCCGCCCATGGACATTTTCAACACCCGTAGGGTTGCAGACGGGTTGCCACCTTTTAATAAAGTGTGCTCCGGTTACCACCCTCACCATACAAAACGCAAAAGTATAACACTTGCACTTCAACTCGGTCTGTGAGGCTGTGATACTTCCCCGAACGGACAGGCCCGTTCGTGCAACACCGCGAAGAATTGCGTGACGCGTGGCCCTACCACAGTAAATGTGTTGTATTTATAAAAAAAAAATTTCTTCGCCTTAAATTATTTTTTCGCCTAGAACTTCCTTTATCGATCTGCGACTTCCATTCTCCTTAAATTTACAATGAAAACGCATTTAAAGCAACTCAACTTACATGCACTAGCGTCCATTGCGCCACGATCACATATTATAAGGCAGTTCCTCTGGCAAGTTCTTCCAAGTTCAAAGAACGTATTCTCAATCTGTATCATGGTTTTCAACAGGTTCTCCTGGAACTTCACGGCTGTAACAAAGGAAATATAAATATTTTGTTAAGTAAAATAGTTCATTCAAAAGGTACCTATTTATAAATGTTTTCCTCGTATGAACATATTTTTTACATTTATCAAACGCACATCCTTACAAATATTATAAAGGCGATAGTTTGTATGTATGGATAGATGTTTGTTACTCTTTCACGTAAATACTACTGAATGGATTTTAATGAAACTTTACAATAATGTAGCTTATACATCAGAATAAAACATGGGTCTTTGTGTCTGAATTTAACGCCTTCAGCCTATGCTACGCAAACGTAGTCGCGGGCAGTAACTAGTTACAAATACTTTTCATTAACGATAGATCCCGCCCTTGCCATTATAAAATTGAATGTCTTAGACCGGAAAATTAAAAGCTGCCGGAGAATCGAAAAAAAAATATCTCAATAGAAGTCGCTTAAAATAGGAAAAGTCTTTGGTATTTATTGAAAACAAAAAGAACTTTTAACTAAAAATTAAACCCTTTTTTAATCTCTTAATTTACAAATGTAGTGTAATAGTATATGTTGCGGGTTTTTACTTCGACCTTTTTCTTACATAGAGACACTGTGATAGCGATATATAATGATCAAACAATTTAATCCCTGCACGAGGCCATTAACGAGCGATGACATTATAAATTTGCAACAATGATCGAGCGTATAATAATTGTTAACAGCCTACAATTACTTAGAGATTATACGCGATACATATGATGGTTATAAATGTCAGAAGGTCGTCCTCGGCTACAGTTTGGGGACGCTTAGGTCATTCGATATACGTGGACTTTATTTTCTAGAACAATAACCACCGCCCTGTTATTTGAAACGCGGCCAAGTTGTAGCCAAAACAAAATGTCAATGGGGCTGGACGAACGGATTGAGGTGTCAATGACAATAGCGCTGCGAGAATGTTGGGAGAAATGGCTTCAAGAAACGAGCTTCTGGGAAATATTACTTATAATTTTGTCTTATGTGCCGCAAATCTTCAATCTTATACATAATATAAAAATGGATTGCTGTTCGAGATATGAGACACTTTATTTTTCTCAAAACAGACAGTTGGCAACCCTGTCTGTGTAACCTGTCAAACTTTTTATACGTACGTTCCGAAAATTCTTTATTTATGTGATACATAAATTCCTTAGAAATAATTATGAAATAAAAAAACAATGTTTGTCGGCTCAGCTACTATTATTATAATATTGGCACAAGATAATACAGATTGATACAATTTAGTAGCCGTAATAGCTCAATGACCTTAAATTCGGTATACTCGAGCAATCTGAGTTCGGTCCCCGGTGCGGACACCAATGTAATTGGTAATTTTAAATGCTGACTTTATCACTTGCTCAACGGTGAAGGATAAAATCGTGAGGAAACCTGCATATTTTCGAAATAACAAAAAATAGATTTTCGAAGATATGTGAAGTTCGCCAATCCGCAGTAGGGCCGCGTGGTGTGACTATGCTCAATTTACGCTCTTCCAAAATATATCGTGTATATTTGCATGTTATTACAAGTTCATATTTTTATTACTAAAAAATAGAGCCGACTTCGCAAAAACGCTCTGTACACATTTATTAATTGTTTTTCACGAGTTCCCTAAGTATCTCCGGACCACAAGGTCCAATACCAATGAAATTAATATGGGACCACATGGGAAGCACGAGCTTTAAAAAAAAAAACAAGAAACATCAAGTCCGTTCACTCAGTCGAAAGTTCTGAGGCAACAAACATAAAAAATACAGTCCAATCGAGAATATCCTTTTTTGAAGTCGGTTGAAAATAATAAGTTGCTTCTATGATAGATAGATCGTTATAAGATCACATATAAAGAAATTCACACGAAGTCATTTTCGGATGTGATACACATAATATACATATACCTAGCACATTCGTCTAAAGTTATTATACTTACATGTACCTCTGAGTCTAAATCTGTCTTTAACGATCGGACGACAATCAACTAAGTTATGTTCAAATGAATATTGCCATTAAAAAAGATTATTCTGTTCACCTAATGATAAACGTCTTTGATAATTATTGGCTAATGAACAACCACCTACTAATTACATAGGTTTTCCTTCAAATGACTTTCGATTGATACCTCGGCAAACGCCACGCCCAAATTATGCCGTTACTCGTAGAAGCAGACTACTTTCACGAAATTAAATAAGAAATAGTGTCGTAATTATCGTCTATTTGTATAATTTCACTGGTATATCTTCGTGATAGGTTAGAGTCGTGTTACAAAGCAAACGCTCAACCGCCAAAGTTGGTCGCAAAGGACAGCGTGTTAATGTATCAGTTTCCTTATCCAACAATTTCGCGACGTCAATGTCGTTTTCCGTTTTTTTATAAGTTCCGGTGCGTCAAGCCATAAGAGAGTCGGTGCCTATTTTAATTTTTTCACTCGTAAAGTTTATTAACTTTTTAATGTTGATATTAAAAAATATTTTGGGTTATGTAGTACAGATTATCTTTTAAACAATAAAGTTGAATGAAGCACCTTCTGTCACATATATTTACATTTCACAGATAAACTTGAAAAGATAAAGGCCCCTATGTTTATATTTAGGCGACCTTACAGTACCCCAAATTGTGGCAAATTTAAGTTAATTCGCCGGATTTTTCCGCATAAAACTAAAATAAGAATGATACCATCTACAGTGACAATATAGTTGTTTTTAAATATTTCATATAAAAGTTTATATAACAACTGGATCAAACCCCTTCGAGCTTCTTGTGTGACGTTACAGAAGTGATAAAACAATTTATGTTTATGGTAATTTACTTTCAAGTTGAGAACAGAAAACGTCGGTTATATTAAATAGAATATCCTTATAAAAAAGGAGAGCGACGAGAAATTGTTTTCCCTGATGGTAATTGTATATATATTTATAAACTATGACGTTCAGTACACCAGAGAAGTAGTTTTTAATACATATGTATAAATACTTCGTATAGCGTAAGTAAATACTAGTATTAGATATCTAATAATACAGGTGTTGGTACGATTATTGATACATTAACCATTACACCCAGAGCCTCCTTAATGCCCGTCACAAACATTTTATTATCACTTAGTATCACAATGAAAGTTAACGACCGGCCTTTGGCAGTAATAATTTACAGGCGACAAGGTTTTAAGAACATTTCCATAAGATATTTTATATGATGCATTTGTTTGCCTACATTACTTATTCTGTTAAAGGAATGAAATATATATATGTATCTTTAACTTCAGATTTCCGGTTACAGTTTGTTTAAATCAAAAAACTTCACGTCAACAAAATCACTAGACCATCTAAAAAAATTTAATTATTGGAATCGGAAGCCCGATCTATCATATACCATTTCGCAATTGTATCTAGTTATATAGATTCACAGAAAAAGTAATGTTTATAATATTTTAGCAAGCAACGCATAAAAAAGTGTGAAAATCACTCCTTGGCAATATAGCAAGCGGCGTACAAAGCAGTTTCTAATTGAAAAATGACTTCATATTGTTGTGTCGTATAAATAGAACGGTCTGAGGAGTTCTGATGACATAGCCGTGTAATCAAAGTAAATAAAATAACCTACATAATATTGTCTTCGGTAGTTGTTTTTATGGGAAAGTACGCTGACCGCGAATTTATAATCACAAAATACCAATGTGTCTTGGACATTATATAAACAAATTCGTTTTGCGATTTAGTTTTCAACAAGACTAATATAACACCAGCATTAAAAACAATTAAAACACGCCGTAGGTGAATTATATTTCCTTTAGGCTAACAGTGTTATATAGGTTGAACAATTATTTGGAGTAAGAAAGAGTTAATGAGAAGATTCTACTTTTAGTAATTTCAATGGTATGATCAATAAAAAGTGGCACCTTTTTTATGCAAACAAATTTAGTTCATTCACCATGTCAGAAAATGAATCGATAACAACAAAAACTGCCGTGACGGCGCACCGTCCTCCATAAAGACAATTAACGATGTTGTCAAACCAATATAATAATTTCAGTCGAGCCGAAGCGAACTATAAATTTGTGAAGGATATATATTAGATCAATTACTAAATATTTGAACAGTATTCAGTAATGTAATATTTCGTAAAGGTCTCTATAAATTTACGTTATTTTATCGTTCATGACTTTGTTTTCACGACGAAACTGCCAAAAAAGGGACGTGTTTCAAATTTAACATTAATAGCAATAACAGTCTTTGTTGCAAAAAATATAGTTACGCCAGGGTTTCTGAAGCACTGATCATCGTAGTTAACTAATCCGCTGTTGAAAATAGCTTATCAAATAACATTTGAAAATAGCTTGTTGCCAAAAGGATTTTTAAACTCTCTGAATTAATCAGAATGATCAGAATATATGGAAGCTAAACCGAATCCAATGTGAAAAATAAAATTTTTTAAACTCTGTTCATAAATGCCGCAGTTTTAAGATAACAAAAGAATTGAGAAGCTGTACCTCTTTTGAAAATACATACGCACCACTGAAAATATTCATTCAAACTAATTGACGGTTCGATAATGTACGATAGACATTAGTGACATAGTGGACACCCATGAACTTCAGAGAGCTGCGAGCTTTGACATTACCATCCTAACAAATCATCGAACGCATTGTATAACGATGTGAAGACACGTGGCTAAACGTTGAACATGTGACAAAGCGTACGTCATGATCATGACGGACGTCACGATAAAAACGAATCGAAATCCACTAACTTGTTAACAAAGTAAAGAAGGACTTTTTTTTTTAAGAAAAAGGCAATTGAGATTGAACGATCCAATCAATATTCTTGGATCTGATTTAGTTCTTTCTACAGTAATATCTGGAACAATCAATTTTCACGACTAAATAGCATGTTCTTATATAACTATAATAAAGATGCATGTAGTTGTTTGTGGTAGAATGTGTGTAGTTTTTATAAACGAATAAAGTTGCTGCTCTATTCGTTATGTTAGGTACAATTCATATC